TTCTAGAAATACAGTAAATTCTTCAGTTCTCCTGTATCCCCAGCACGTTATTTCCTCAAACAAAACCAATAAATTGTTTAAACCTGATTTCCCTTTCACAAGCTGTGTTGACTCAATCTGATTATGTTGAACTTTTCCAAGTACTTTGCTTTAATGCTATAATAATAGCTTCTATCATCTTCCTAATGACACATATTAAACTAACAGGCATGAAATGCTTTCTCAATTCCTTCCTTTTCAAATAATTTGGTTATATTTGCTAATTTCAATTTTATTGAATTTTCTCCAAATCTAGGGAATTTTGGAAAATTAAAACCAAAACATCAACTATCTCAACTACTTCTTTTAAGATGCTAGAATGAAGTCCATCAGGGCCCAGGACCTATCAGTCTACAGATACAATAATTTGCACAATACCATTTCCTTAGTGATTATAAGTTTTTAAGTTGCACCTTCCAGATTTACAACCATTTACAGGATGTTACTTACATCACATGCAAAATACTTGATCAATTCATCTGCACTTTCCTTAATTTCCATTATTAATTCCCCATACTCACTTTCTATAGAATTAGTACTCACTTTGTTAACTCTTTTAACTATCTACAGAAACTCTTACTATCTGTTCTTATATTTATAGCTTTATCTCGTATACTAATTTTCCCTTATTAATTTTTTAGTCATTCTTTTCTTCTTTATAGATTCTGTTCAATCTTCTGATTTCCATCCACCTTTGTGTAAATAAATGCTTTTCCTTTAGGATAGATATTGTGTTTTTGTCTTTTTAGTTAATCAACTCTTGCTGAACACCTACTCAGCACTAACCTGCTCACTGATGCCCAGTTTGTGTTCTGCCAGGGCCACTCAGCTCCTGACCTCATTACAGCCTTGGCTCAAACATGGACAAAAGAGCTGAATTCCAGAAGTGAGGTGAGAGTGTTAGCCCTTAACATCAAGGCTGCATTTGAACGAATGTGGCATCAAGGAGCCCTAACAAAACTGGAATCAATGGGTATCAGGGGGCAAAGTATCCGGTGGTTAGAGTCATACCTGACACATAGGAAGATGGTCATGATTGTTGGAGGTCAATCATCTCAGCTCCAGGACACCTCTGCTGGAGTTCCTCAGGGTAGTGTCCTAGGCCCAACCATCTTCAGCTGCTTCATCATTGACCTTCCCTCCACCATAAGGTCAGAAGTGGGGATGTTTGTGACAATTACACAATGTTCAGCATGATTAATGACTCCTCAGACACTGAAGCAGTCCATGTCTAAATACAACAAGATCTGGATAATATCCAGGCTTGGGCTGACAAGTGGCAAGTAACATTGGTGACACGCAAATGCCAGGCTGTGACCATCACCAATAAGAGACAATCTAACCACCACCCCTTGACATTCAATGGTGTTACCATCACTGAAGCCCCCATTATCAATATCCTTGGGGTTATCATTGTTCAGAAACTCAAAAAGACTCACGATATAAATGCAGTGGCTACAAGGGCAGGCCAGAAGCTAGGAATGCTGAGGCGAGTAACTCACCTCCTGACTCTCGAAAGCCTGTCCACTATCTACAAGATACAAGTCAGGAGTGTGATGGAATAGTCCCCACTTGCCTGGATGCGTGCAGCCCCAACAACACTCAAGAAGCTTGACACCATCCAGGACAAAGCAGCCCACTTGATTGGCACCACATCCACAAGCATCCACTCCCTCCACCACCGACGCTCAGTAGCAGCGGTGTATCCAATCTACAAGATACACTGCAAAAATTCACCAAACATCCTCAGACAGCACCTTCCAAACCCACAACCACATCTATCTAGAAGGACAAGGGCAGCAGTAATACCACCACCTTCAAGTTCCCCTCCAAGCCACTCACCACCCTGACTTGGAAATATGTTGGCATTCCTTCACTGTTACTGGGTCAAAAACCTGGAATTCCCTCCTTAATGGCATTGGGTCAACCCACAGCAGGTGGACTGCAGCAATTCAAGAAGACAACTCACCACCACCTTCTCAAGGGCAACTAGGGATGGGCAATAAGTACTGGGCAGCCAGCAACACCCACATCTCACAAAATGAATAAATAAATAAATCCCCGCAATAGTGGATCTTCCCTCTGAATTGTGTTTCTTGTGGAATGTAACAACTCTGTGTATTCTGAAATATCTCTTTCATTGTCTGCCATTGCATTTCTGTTAATCTATCAATTTAAATTGCTAGTTCACTTCTGTTAGCTGTTTTCATGCTGTCATCATTACCTTTATTTAATTCAAAAATATTTGTCTTGGACCCATTCTTCCCTCCTTAAAACTGAATGTAAAATTTAGTCATTTTCCAGTTGCTGCTACCTAAGAGCAACTTTATTATGAGGTGACTAATTCTGACTCATTCCATATCTGGTAGAGCTTGCTCCCTTGATGGCTCCAGAATGTGTACTTCTAAAGTACTATCCTGAAATAATTCTGTGAACTCCTTATCAAGGCTATTTTTGACTCTCTGATTTTTCCGATCTATATGTAGATTAAGATTCCCCGTGTGCTGTACAAAATTACCACGAATTACTTCTTACTTTTATAATTCCTCGTCTCTACCCAAGCTGCTTCTACATCCTGAATTCCTGGATTTAGGTAATTGCTCTGTGTTTGTGTTGATAACCATCAAATGACAGCTAGAAGTGCGAGATACTTTGTATCAATCGTTCCGTCTCTTACAAGCAATCCCTTCAAAACTGAGATGAGGGGGTAGATCTTTTAAAAAAGTTTGGTTGCTCGCTTAACAACATGCAACGTGATTTGGAAGAGTTGCCAGTCTGTAAAGGGGTAATGGGGAACCCGGGTTCACCGTATTCAGCAGAATCCAGGCCTTGGGTTGTTGTTGGCTTTCGAATTTGTTAGTATTGGTTTTGTTCGCACAGCTCAGTGGATACAATATCACCAGAGCTCACTTTGAAACTGAGATGCTACTAATTGTGGAGTCTAGTGATGTAATGAGTGAGATGGAAATGAACCAGTAATGCATCCTGATTAGAGCACTGAAGAGACAGGAAAACCAACATACGTTGACTTGTATGACACTGCATGAGAGACTGCAGGAGCAGCTCACCCAGGCCTCCTGCTTATTAGCGGCTGCACAAAAGAAACCTCTTGAGATAAAGGCGGATTAGGTTAAAATCACAGCTTCGCTAGACAATAAGCACCCATTTCGAGCGGAGAATGTGTTCAGAGGATCCACGTCCACCTGTGCCTCCTCGCGGTTCAGGACAGACCCAGCGGCTGCAGGCGCTGCCTCGGTGTGTTCAGACTGAAACAACCCGGCCAACCGATAGTTACTGAAACTAAGAGTAACTCTACACATTTTGGATTGAGGAGAGCGAGTGAGATCAACCATGTGAGTACTGGAACTGAGAGTGAAATTAAGACTGGCACAATTCTCCCTGACTATCTAAGCACTGCATCTGCAGTTGGATGGGAATGGAGAGATGTAATGACTTCCTTGCACTGCCAGAGTACATAGCTCATCGTCTGAAACAGATCTGTATGTTTCTGATGTTTAAATGTTTAACGTTAGACTACTTGTTTAAATTATCAGATTTGTTGGATTTCTGTACTAGGAACTGAATTAAACCATGATGTTATAGTTGACTTTTCGTATTTCCATTGGAAGGCTTCAAATGTGTTAAAGTTTTGAGCCAATGTCATAGAGAATCTCTGCAGCTTTCTGGCTGCTCCTCTAGTTTATCCAGTGAGTTTGTAAATGCAGCTCCGTTCACCCCCCAGTTTGGGCTGAGTTGAGTCGCCTGAATCATCGTGGCTGGTTTCCCGGCCCTAGTAGCCATGGTTTTAGGGGTGTTCGACTCAGTTACGGCGCCCTGTTGATGTTCGCTATGCAGTGAATTCGCTAAACTCTGCGGGTTTGCCGAGGGGAAAATAGAACCGACTTTGTCGCTGAAGTAACCCAATCCATGTTGGGAAAGGAAGAATATAAATGCAGGCAAAGTACCGGAGAGTGAGCAGCTCTCCTGGAACTGCATTTTCCTGCAGGAAGGTAACACCTTAATTAGCAAAGAAATCAGGAGAAAAGACTCCCGTAGATACCCACAGAAATGCTTTGTGCAAGTTTATGAACTGTCTCATGTTGGCTGGAACAAATGTGAAGTGACCGGGAGGGTGGGATGTGTACAAGGAACAGATGGCGATGAGGAACTGAACTTCTCCTGGGAGTCTGACACTTTCAATTATTAAAGACAAAAAGGAAACTGTATGGCAAACATGTTTGGAGTGACGTTTCCATGGTGATGGGAGGGGTGGATAGATAGGTTTGGGAAGTTTGGTCGTTGTAAGGATTACTAAACGCGACTTCGTATAAACAGCGCAGCCCCCTTTGAAATAATTCCCAACGAAAGTATATCAGCCATGCCCTGGGTAAGCGAGGTGCCTTTGTGTTGTGGAGCTGATGCATGCAGTATTATGAAAGGCTCACATCCAGAACCACAATCAACAATTAATCCGAGCAGTAGTCGCCGTGCTTTCGCAGTTTGCGTTGTAAATCTGCCTGACTTCAAATCACGCCGGTTTGTCTTCCACCCCTGCCTTTTCCTGGCGTTAGTGGACATTTTAGAGGCGAGCATGTACTCTCCCTGACTTTGTGCGAGTAACAACAGCCGTGCTCGAGGAAAGCGGCGAGGTCTAAATGCTGTGAGCATTTGTCTGCCGTTTCACAGAACAGCAGCTGGCTGGTTCGGAAGTGACCTTTGAGAGGGTTCAGGTAATGAAACAACGAACTTTAAATCAGGCTCGGCGCTGCGCTTCTTTGCATTCCGTGCCGGTGCACTGAGTTTCGCTTCACAAACACACACACACGCTTACTCGCTGTTCGAGTTTAGCTCACTCACCACCCAATATCAGCTCTCGACAGCTTGCCTGAGGGCGGAGCTAATCGCTCGACTCAAGTAAAGACTCGCCGGCTGTTCTTTTCCCCGGATATGTGGCAGGTTCCCGAAGCGAGCGCTAAGTTGTCTCCGATCGCAGCCCCGTGTTACATTGAAATCTTTGATACATTTGTTTCAGCCGACATGAAGTGGATCGAAGACCGAGGTTCCAAGTGGAAACTATTTAGGACTTTTGGAGCCTTCGGAATGGAAAAGTTGTGAGACGGGGGCGTTTGGGGACACTGGGCATCGAATTGAAGGCAACAAGAAAATGGGAATATAGAATCAGAAAATGTTGGAAACACTTAGCGTGACAGGCAGCATCTACAGATAGAGAAGCAAGGTAGACCTTCAGCTCAATAACCTTTGGTTCGAACTGCGATATTGAGACAAACTTTCCAAGCATTCAGAGAGACTGATGAGCCGGGCAACTTAGTAAAGTTTGATTCCCGTTCAGGTGAGGCCTTTACGCAATCAGAGTTTAAAATAAACCATCCAGAGAATGAAACGCAAAAGATCTCTTGCATGTACCAGCCCGCTGACTCCGCCGAGGAATGCAGAATGGTAATGCCGAGCTCCCCACAGAGCTCCATGAATGATTCTTGGATTGGAATCTTCGAGGCCGAATTCTCTGTTTGTGTTCTCCTTTAGCTTGCTGCAGGTGAGGACGCTGTCCAGGGGAGAGTCCTGTCCAGGTAAGGGCCCTGACCAGGTGAAGATCCTGCTTGGGGAAAGTCATTCTCAGGCTAGGGTCCTGTCCAGGTGAGGGTCCTGTCCAGGTGAGGGTCCTGCTGAGGTGAGGGTCCTGTCCAGGTGAGGGTCCTGCTGAGGTGAGGGTCCTGTTCAGGTGAGGGTCCTGTCCAGGTGAGGGTCCTGCTGAGGTGAAGGTCCTAATCCAGGTGAGGGCCCTGCTCAAGGGAAGGTCCTGCCCACGGGTCTCATTACTGATTCCAATTCTAAAGAAAAAACAAATTTAATGGAAAACAAAATATGGTTGAATTTAGTATAAGCTTAAAATTTCAGGAGTGGAGCTTTTGATTGGTCCTTTAATTGCAAATTTATCCTGGTTGCCTTTCTTGGAAATACTCCATGTTCCACAAAATTTAATTAAATGTAAGATGTAAAAACACTGAAGTTATTTGCTGTGAGTGGTGAGTTGAATAAAAATCTACAAAAGTATTTCCTACTCACTGTGCCCAAGGTCACCAGTTCATGCTGGGGTGCCTGGCAACACATTTCAGGATAAGACTTAAGACCATTTACATAAATCTTTTTTTCTAAATTGGGACTTCATTTTACTGTGTTTAAAAGGTGATGATAATCCCTGTCTCTCTGCATCACCTCACTGGGTTGACAGTCCTGTTATGTTGTCTTGGTGCTCACAGAGCTGACTGTAACACTATAGATGCAATTTGCCCAGGCTTTTGTGTGATTCTGCATGTCTACCAGGGTTAGCTTCAGTTGCTTTAGTCTTGGGAAGAAAAGGTGTCAGCCAACTTGAAAGCAGCCATATGATATGTAAGAATATTAGTCAATGCAAGCAATGATGAATTTGACTCAGTCTATATTTGTGTAGTGATGGATTTGTTTGAAATTGCAGAGAGAAGATGGTGCAGAAATATCAGTCTCCAGTGCGGGTCTACAAGTACACATTTGAAATGGTGATGGCGGTGAGTTAGTAATGTTTAATTACATCAGGTGACCTGGGGTACACACTCTGCAATTAGTTTACCAAAACACTTGCTGTACGTAGGAATTTACAGGTTCTTGTTAGCTCAGTGAAGTTGAAAATATAAGTAAAGGCCATTTGTCCAACAAGCTCTTTTACTGTAATTGATAAGCTGAATTATATTTTCTGATTTTTGTTGCATTACAGGAATTGTCTCTGCAACCCTCACTATCAATGTCTTTCACAGTTAACTTATTCCACAGCTCATTTAATGTGTCAGCCATAGTTCAATGAATAGAATTATTGTGTTTGAGTCAGCTTTGGTAAATTCAAGAGACTTAAACAGAGAAATCTAGTCTGACATTCCACTGCAATTTAAGGGAGAATTATCCTGCAAAAGGTGCTATCATTCAGATGAGATATTAAACTGAGGCCCTGTTTACCTTCCTAGATGAATAAAAAAAAGTTAACATTCTGAGTCCAGACTTGAACATTAACTCTGCTTTCTTCTTACAGATGCTGCCAGACCTGCTGAGTTTCTCCAGCAATTTTTGTTTTTGTTTCACATCTCCAGCATCCACAGTTCTTTATTTTATTTGAATGAAAAAGATCCTATGGTACTATTTTAATGATGAGCAGGGCAGTTGTCCCTGGTGTCTTAGGGCCCTTAGTTATCCTTCATTCAACAGTGCACAAACAAATTACCCAGTCATTATCACGTTGCTGTTTGTGGGAACTTGCTGTGCATAGATTGGCTGTGATATTTGTTATGATCCCTGCTGATGTTACTACTGGACAAGTCAGTTTGAAATCTGGCTTGACAGATCATATTTTGTTTTAATTATTGTGGTAGTTTTTCAGTGAAAAATGGCATTCAATGCTGCAGATTTGATTTTAACAATAAAACATTAGTTTATTACACATAAGAAATGAAGATAAAATAGAACAATTCAAGCTATTTACATGTAATAAAATTTGAATGATTTTAAAACACTCTTCAGGACAAAAATCCCATTTAGCTCACCACCATCATTTTTATGCTTAAATATCAAAGAGAGTTCCCTTTACTATCCCATTTATAGGTTTCACTTAACTGTTTCTTTCAGTTCCCAGTTTTAAGAGTTTAATAGCCTTCTCCTTGATCATTCACACAACTGAGCATAAACCTTTTTATGTTCAAAGAACCCATTCAAGCTTCCAACCATACATTTCTGGTCTGGAATTTTAAAATTAAAACTCTAACACTGAGGTAATCTATTTCCTAACCGTGCTGAACTACCTTATTTCTCCAGGAGAAACTGCTCTTACATCTAACCTCAGCTTGGTCTTCTGTAAACTGCCAACAAAAACTTTCCAATCTATTGGCTTTTCCTAAACAAAAGACAATTCTTGAATTCTCCTGAACCAAAAGAAAAATAATAATGCTTTTCAATACTTGCTGTCTCTAACTGTAAAAATCACACACTTTACCTTACATGCTTCTTACATTAGAACAGTTCAAAAGTACTTAATTGGCTCTGAAACACTTTGGGAATCCTAAGGTTCTGAATGGTGCTACATAGATTCATTTTTTTTCTTTCCCTTTGAATGAAAGAAAATGTTACCTGACATATTAAAGGCAAGGTACTGTTTTTCTTCCATTTTTCCAATTTCTTCACACTCTACCAGACCCTGTATCACTGACTGTATCTCTACTAATGTTGATCCACCTCCTGCACATTGTCACACAGTAACCACACATCTCCAGTGTCCTGTGTCACTGACCCTCTCTACTGATACTAATCTAGCTTCCTCACACTGTAACTCAGTAAGCTCACCTCTCTAGTGTCCTGTATCTCTCATTATTTCTCTACTAATATTTACCTGAACTCTCTCAGATTGTCATTCAGTAATGCTTCCTTATAGCAACCTTAATTTTGTGATCAAGATAACATGTAAGTAAAATATTTTAAGAACGAGAGGAAAAGGGTGTGGAAGTTATCAATCTTCAGTAAATATTGATTGTTAAAGTATGCTTTTACATAGTACATTCTGATTCTGTACTGAACCCTTGATGCCAGCAGCCAGGATTTTTGAGCTTGGCCCAGCAACAGTCCTGTGATGTGGAACACATGAAAATCAGAATAGTTACAAATTTCAATCAACTTTCCCATCAGTATGTGGACCTAACCTAATAACCCTAGTGTGTGAATGCACTGCTGAGTTTGGTACTGAGTCACACTGACAACAATCTGCAGTCAGACCTGTTAGAAACTGAATGGAAATTGGTTGAGGGTAAACTTAGCTTTGGTTAAGCTATTCCCAGGGTGAATGCCTGCTTGGTCCCAACTGAGTGATACATGAAGAAATGCCCTCTTTTGCAGGTTATAGGAATGTTCTGGATGTACCTAAACAATTCTAGAGGGAAATATTTTCAAGGCACCTATTCCAAATGAACAATCAGAGCCAGCAGTGCCACTCTGTGTCCCAGAATATACAAACATTGCACAGCAACCTATTGTGAGCACAGCCATGTGCTTCTTCTGTCATCCTACAGAACAGATGTGCCTGCTGCACTTTACACAGGGAACCTATTATCTGAGATCCTCTTGTTTAAGAGAGGAGAGGATATGAGAGTATGACAGCAGGAATCTACTAGCTTTCTCCACACTTGTAAACTGGTTAGGAGAATCTCAAACATCTCTTCCTTCACTTTTATGGTAACATTTTCTGAGCCCTGAAAAACTGGATTTGTCCACAGGCTTGTTGAGAGGTTACGAGCTGATATTAACACTGCTGTGGAAGGAACATATTTATGAAATAATACATTGTATTTTGTCCATGTCTCTTTCACACATACAGATGGCGATCACTGCTTTCATTTGCTTTCTCTCAGTAATAATAAGGATTAGCTGTGTCTGTCTGTCTTATCCCTACTCCCTCATACCCATAAGGTATGTTTTTATATTTCTGTCTTTCATAGCGTGAGTTAAATAAAGCAAACACTCCTCTTTTAGTAGCTGTTAATGAATAGGCAGCCTGCCAGCATAGATTATCCTGACAATGTGAATGTAAAAGGACTGCCTTATGCGCCTCTCTGTGTTTTTCTCTCTAGCACATGCAGACACAAGCCGTTCTGTGTCACATGTAGATACAAGTTAGGATAAATTTATGAGGTATGCCAGCACATTGCCTAATCATTGATAGTTTCTAACAAAGCAGTGTTTTGTTTTTAAATAGCATCACGTTCGTAAAAAAATCTAAAAAGTTGGTATCCACATTCATCATCCAGTGAAGAGATCATAGTCACCCAGTCAAATAAAGATGCAGTCACCTGCTCATAGAATTTGATTTGCATTCACCGCAATAGGCATCAAATTTCTGATTGGGGATTAGTCCCTAATTTTTGGTCGTCAACTACATATTGTGGCCCATATCGTAACCTAAATCAATGTTCTCATTCAGTGACTGCTAGGCCAATGGAAAGCTAAAATACTTCTGATATATAATTAATTAAACATGACATAGACATTTATAGATAAATGGCAGAAGATGGAGGTAAAAATTTTGGTAGCAATGACAAAGGCCTTTACAAAGATCTTGGGGTATTAATTGTCCCTGACAGCACCGAGTGAGTTGGTTCAATAAATTTGAAAGAAGGGAAATGGCCAAGAGGTGGAGGAGGATCACACCCTTCTCCATTTGATGGCTGGCAAAAGTGAAGATGCTGCTGAATAAGGTGACCCTGCTTGTTTCTCCAGAGTACCCTCCCCGTAGGACTGTGATGTAGCCTTTCTTGAAAAGTGTAGAAGGGCAGTAACTTGTATTTACACAACACCTTTAAGATAGTAAAGTGTTCTTCACAGAAACATTGCCAAAGTTGGACATTGGATCAAATAAGGAGACATTAGGACGGGTGACCAGAAGTATGGACAAAGAGGTAGGCCTTAGGAACATTTTAAAGGAGGAAAGAAAGGCAGGGAGGTTTAGGAAGAATGTTCAGAGGGTAAACTCCAGGTAACTGAAAGCACGGCCAGCAATGGTTGAGCAATTAAAATCAGACATGTGAAAGAGGCCAAAATATGAACAGTGCACATCTCTTGGGGGTTAAGAGGCTGCAACAGACGACAGAGATAAGTAAAGGTGAGGCCATGGAAAGATTTTAAAATAAGGAGGAGAATTTTAAAATCAAAGCATTGCCTAATCTCAGCTTGTAAATATTGAGAAGATACTTCCAGGTGGATACAGAATACCTACTACAGGGCATCACAGACTAACTGCCATCCCTCCATTGCTCATCCACACCACTTAATTCACATATTAAAGGAAATTCCCAATGGGAACACCATTGTCACAATACCTTGAAAATACCAAAAAAAAAATCAGTATGGCCCAACGTCAAACATAAGAAGATTGGTAAGGGTTTGGTTACAGTCACTGCTCGCTGTTGATCTGCACCCCAGCAAGATGGATAGCCTTCACTGGAGGAAGTGGTAAAAACAAACAAACAACTGACACACAACAGTGAAACTGTGGGAATTTGGTCTTTTTACCAGCTACTGAGAGTATTGAGTGTTGATTTGATGATTAGTAACAAGGAAATCAGAGGGTTAAATTCTGATTATTTGCTTGCTCTCTGAAGAATTAACTTCCTATTCCAGGCTTATGAGAAGAGATTCCCGACGTGTCCATTGATCCCAGTTTTCCTGGGTAGTGAGAAACTCAGTGAGTACAAGAGTGAAGACGAATCACTACACATTGTGGAGAGAAGCTGCAAGCTTAATGTGGATGCACCAAGGCTATTGAAGAAGGTGACTGAATGTTATTACCAATTTGTGTGATCACTAAATCCTGATCTTATAGAAAATCCTTCATAAAGAACACTTCATACATGAACAGCAGCATCAGTGCTATGTCTGCCTGACCTGGCCTGGGATTAATCAGATCACTGGTGGAGAAGAAAGTGGTGGGCCTGGGCTGAGCTGGAAATATTGGACCTTTGCTGGGTTGGGAGTGACTGATTTAGGTTGGGAACATTAAACCTGTATTAGCTTGAGAGTAACAAACCTTTATTTCCATGCAGAAGGTTGTTCTGATCTGGAATGCATTGCCTGAAAGGGAAATAAAAGCAGAGCAACTTTCAAAGAGAACTTTCTTCATAAAAATAAATTTGTGATAGGATGGGTCTGATTCAATGATGCTTTCAAAGAGAAAACACAGGCATGATAAGCTGAATCGTCTCCTTGTCTGCTACATCATTCTATGATTCTATGACCCATGTTGGGTACGGTTGGGAAACATTGGACTGGTGAAACATTGTGCTTTGTTGGAAAATAGTTTGATTTTTCTGAGCTTTTCTGCGACTTGTTTCTGTTCTTGGTAATGAAACTAGTTGAAATAACTCTGGTCATACTCCCTTGTCTGACTATGATGTACCATCTGTGGCCTTTGCAGATGGCAGGAGTGGAATATGTCTCCTTCATACAGAAGAACACAGTGAACTGGAAGGAGCGCACCCTACTGATCGAAGCACACAATGAGACATTTTCTAACAGGGTCATTGTTAATGAGATCTGCAGTTACAGGGTGAGTTGCAGAGTCTAGCATTTAAGAGTCATGCATTTTAAAATCCTAAATCTTTGCACACCTCCATCACTTTCTCCTTCTCTGAGTGCTGCTCCTCTCTTTAAAATCCGGTCCTAAGAATTCCTTAGCTCAGTGTCAAATTTTGTTCTATATTCATTTTGCTCCTGTGAAGCATCTTGGGGTGTTTACTTGCATTAAAGGTGTTCTATTAAGTGACTGTATTTTGTACAGTAATCATACTTTCTATTGGTTTCCTATTTAGTTGGTTACAGTTTGTTCAATCTGCCTAAAGTCTGTCTGCATATTGTCTGGACAGTGTTTGCATTTACTATTTCCATGCATTGAAACCAGCAGTATTTTATGTTGATAGGCAGCTGGACTAATGTTGGTGCTGAGTGGAGAATTTCTGTGGATATTAATTTTAAGTGTGTTGATGTTGATTTCTCTTATCCAGGCTCACCCTGACAATGAGGAATGGACTTGCTTTGAGCAGTCTGCATCACTGGACATCAGATCTTTCTTTGGGTTTGAAAGTACAGTGGAAAAGATTGCAATGAGACAGTACACTGCCAACATCAAAAGGGTAGGAGACTTTCCTATTCTTTCCTCTGTCTTCAGTGACTGAGGTGGGGGGAGGAGGGGTGGTGTATGGAGGGCAGGAAGCTGAGGGCTGACATGATTATAGACAGACAGTACATTACCGAATCTAGCCTCAAATGTAGCCCTAATCCTCTGATGGATATCTTCTGTCTGTACTGGCTTTTTTGAAATAGATTTGATGTGTATTCAGTTCAGGTTCCAGCAGCATGATTTGTCTGTCTTCCAGCAGTTTAGTTCTCTTCAAGTCATTCAACTTGCTCAATTCCTCTGAGGAGCAGACTTCAGCCAAACCTTTAAATCAGCAGGTCATCTCCACCCCTTAGACCATTCGATAGGATTTAACTGGCCAAGTCCAGTCTGGTGCATTGCATTCAGGATACACTGTACATATGACAGCAACGTTTGGGCATCGCACTCAGTGCCCACTTCTCATGAGCGAGCCTAAATGGCAAGTTATTCAGATACAGGGGCAATATAGCTGAATTTGACCCTGCTTTTCTTTGACCTTGGGTACAACAAAATACCACGAACAATAAATAAGTGGATGACCAGTAAGTAGTGCTGCTTGTGGCATAAATGTCATCAAACATACCAGTGAGAGCCCCACTGTTTGTTTAAAAACTGTGACCGTGAGATATTTTACATCCACCTGAGAGGGCACTTGAGGCCTTGGTTTCACATCTCGCTTGAAAGACAGCAGCTCCAACAATGCAGCATCTTCTCAGTACTGCAGCCTAGATTGGAGGCTCAAATCCAGGAGCTGGACATGAATGCTTGATGAAGGCCTATTCTCTGGGTGAAGATGACAATTTAGCTGTTTGTAAATTAGTGAGCAGCTATGTGGAAAATATTTACTTTTGTTTCTGTGCTGAGTGGTTGTTGCCCAAAGTTCTTTAGTGCTGCTAGTCAAAATCTTTATGAAGTGTAAGACACCGTATTTATAACCAATTCTGTCACATTTCAGGGTAAGGAAGTTATTGAACACTACCTGAATGAGCTGACCACACAGGGTATCAAACACATTCCCCGCTGGACTCCTCGTGCGACAGTTGCTACAACAGAAACAATGCCAGAGAACAGCCGACCAGCAATAGCACCATTGCCAGATCTCAGGGTGGAGTCATCGGAGCTCCTGGCACATAGCAGTACCAAAGAACCATTGACCAACTTGTGTGGGCAGGAAACATTGCCCACAACATCAGATGGTAGGTTTCTGCACTCAGAGTACGATGTTTTTCACTTCCCATGAAGATATTTTTTTCAATGACACAAAATCATAACAGTTTAATGTGTACAGAGAACCACCAGCAATATTAAAGAACAAAGGAGCAAACTTTATCTTTGCAACTTTGAACGGGTTTCAACTATTGGGTGATCCCATTAAAATATATAAGTTGTTAATGGTTTTGCAAAACCCTGGATCATTGAGTGAGACTAATCTATCATAGTGGCAGTGATGTACATTGGCAGTAGGCCCTTGTGTTTGTGTATGTCAGTATTCTTAAAAACATCAGTCAACCAGACGCTCAGTTTGATTTAAACTTTGTAGACTGAGATATGGCCTATCATGTCTTTGATGAATCAATGAAAGAGTGATCCAAGTAGTCCCACTCCTCTGCTTGCTTTCCAAGGTTTGGAAAATTACTTTCCTTTGCCAAAGCACTCCAAGGAATTTTACAATACAATCAGCAGATAGAAAACGAAATAGGAGAAAACTCAGGTGAAATGACCAGTTTAAAGATTTTAAGATTTAAACTTTGCAAAATAGCTTCTTACTTTGGAATCGTTTTTGCTATTTAAAAGGGATACAGAGATGAGACACAATTTTTTTTAGTGCATAGAACTGAATGAATGATATTGTCTATTGAGTTCTTTAGTGACAACAGTCAACATTGGATTTATCCATGTTTTTTAGCTGACAAACTCGATGCTGATTACATTGAACGGTACCTGGGGCAATTGACCCCCATGCAAGAGAGCTGCCTGATCCAGCTTCGACAGTGGCTCCAAGAAACACACAAGGGCAAGGTATGTGATGGGCAGGACAAGGTTAAAACTATCTGTGCTCAACACAAGTTAATCCAATTAAACAAGTCAAACATTAGTTGAACAGTGAGCATTTCCTTACGTCTTGAAAATTTTGAGCTGGAGGACATGGATGCTGCAATTAAAAAGTGACCTCACAAGTGAGTTAAAACAGATAGTCAGGTTTCCTGAAGCATAACCTCATTGATGATCATCCACACTAAGATTTACATTCTCCTCTTTAGATATTCCAGTGAGTTATGAATCATCGCCCACACATTATTTTCTTTTCAAACCTTTTGCAGCTGGGACCTGGATATTGTTTACGTGATTGCACTTTCCTATTTTGTTGTAAATCAGTAATACACTATTTATTTATGTTAAAACTTCACTATTCCATAATCCTTCCCCTTAATTAGTCTGTTCTCTTTGAATTCATTCCCTTTTATACTGAGCACCTGAACACATACCATAGTGTCAGCAGCAAACTTTATTATATTATCAGAAGACATACCATTACTCTTGTGAAAAGAACAAACAACAGGATTCCCACTAGTCATTGTCTCCTGACAGAATCATGCCTATTTGCCAGAAACTTATGTTTTCTTAGACAAAATATGTCCAGTATCTCCAGGATTCCTAGTGCATAGTTCCAGTGGATACACCTTTAATCTAGAAAATCAGTTCATTGTATTTGTGGCATCTGGATTTTTTAAGAATGAAAGGTGATCTTATGGAAACATGTAAGATCCTGAGGTGACTTAACTAGGCAATTATCAAAAGGGTGTTAACAGGAACTAGAGAATTTAGTTTAAAAATAAGGGGTCTCTCATTTAAAATGGAGATAAGGTAATTTTCTTTCTCAGAGGGTCATTACTCTTTGGAATTCTCTTCCCCACACAGTGGTGGAGACAGGATCATGGAATATTTTTAAGAGAGGCAGATCTTGACTAACAAAGGAGACAAATGTAATCAGGGCTAGATAGAAATGTGGGGTTGAAGTCACAATCAGATCAGACATGATTTACTGAATGGTGGAGCAGGCTAAAGGAACTGAATGGCCTATTGCTGCTTTTAGTTTGTTTATATGCACATTGACTGCCACAATTCCTACAGTGGAACAGTGACTAGTCTTCATAAATATTTTGTTGACTATTAAGGGCATTTGGATGTTGTGCAATTATTAAAAAGAGTGTGATTTAATTTTTTTTACTTTCTACCATATCAAGTATACTGAAAAGAATGGTTCTAGAGTATCTCACACACATATATAGGGTTTGGATAGCTAAGGTAATATTGAAATTGGCTCTGGACATATACATGTAGGTAGCATGGCTCTGGACATTTAACATGGATACAGTGGAGCCAGGAACTCTAGGATAGCTCACACATAGACAGAATGCGTCCTGAATCTTGGTTGACTGGAAAATACATTCCAGTAGTGTGCCCCTAATCTTCCTTAGAGATAGAGCCACGATGTAGAAATGGCAGGATAAATGTATCGGTCGTTGTCACCATGGTGCAAAGGTCTTTGCTGAGCCTAAATCAGGACAATATGGCGATATATTGAAGTTTAACCACTTAAATCCAGGTTCAGAAACAGTCTTTGGATTTTAAAATAGATGGAAAAATAAATGAAACAAAAACAGAAATTGCTGCAGAAACCCAGCAGGTCAGGCAACACCGGTGGAGAGAATCAGAGTTAACATTTCGAGTCCAGTGATCCTTTTTCAGATCCAACATCCACAGCTCTTTGTTTTATGAAAGAAAAAAGAAAGTTGATGAATGGTTAAGATCCTTATTAGGTACCTGAATATTTGGAATTTTGACACATTACCTTGAACATTTACCTGGTTTACCTGGTTCATTTTAGGAAGAGACATCCTAAAGCCAGATGTTCAATACATGTACACCAATGGATTGCTTTATTAACACTGAGCAATGACATGTGTGAATTAATTTTGAAATTCTATCTTCATCTCAGTCAAAATACCACACCTTAAGTCATGTCTTTCTCTGTGCTCCTTATAGTCTGAGGCAGGTGATTGGAAGCCAGAAAAGGTAATATTTTCTGTGTGTGCATTTGCTGCATGTCAGCGCGAGTCAGAGTTTAGTATTGCCTAGTAGAGTTAGTGTGTAATATTTGGAAGATGGATTCAAATTCAACTGTTGCTGTGTCCTCTAGTCAACATCTGATATGTTGCCTTAAACCTCTTAGCAGAACAGCCTTAGCTTTAATTCTCTAAATGTGTTTGTCTTATTGTCTCATTGGATAAAAGTTAATGGCTTGGATGGACATCCTTACACTGTGTCCGCTGTGTCAATAACAGTCTCTTTTTTATCTTAGTCTCTCACTTACTGATCATTAGGAGGACATAGACCCATTTATTAGAACCTCTTCCTGAAGATCATCTATTGAACACACATTCATTCAGGAAAACTTGCACTCAATCATTAAACACAGCTTCAAAACCTGATACACGCATCTAAATGCACAAGCAGTCAGGAGCACATACATGCGTGTTTCAATGATTTGCATGTGTTTGATGTGTCATTTGAGTAATTTGTTCCGTTGAACATTACAAGAATTTCACTGGGTAGGGTAAGTAGCTTCTGAACTATTTAAAATCAGGAGGGAGTTGAAACTTGTCTATTCTGTGGCCTTGCCTCAGAGTCACTGATTTGAAACAAATAACATTTTGCAGCACATTCTGGATTTCAAGTGTGCTGTACTTTCAAAGTGCAGTCTCCAATGATGTGTTAACAATAACCCCTCTGAATCAGATTTCCTATGTACAGGGGAGCCCTCAGTTTCAACAGAAGGATGACTTGACTGTACCATCAGGACTCCTTCACCTGCATTGATGCAGGGGCTGTACTAGTATGTAGACTGAGTGCTGGGATATACGCAGATCATCCATTCAGTGAACGAATAAATGGATTAAAATGTAGTGCGAGTTTATCTCTGAGTATTGTAGTGAATAGTGTTGGGTCCTGAACCCAACCACTGATGTAAATACCATGAAGACAGTGATAACAGAACCTGTTGCTGTTGTGTTTTCCAGATTCCCAAAGATGAACACATTTTGCGTTTCCTGCGGGCTCGGGATTTCAATATCGAAAAAGCGCGAGAGATCTTGTGTCAATCACTTACCTGGCGCAAACAATACCAGGTGGATTACATTCTCCAGGTGTGGAGACCACCACAGGTGCTGGTCGACTATTATACAGGAGGCTGGCATTATCACGACAAAGGTAATCCTTCAGACTATTTACTCTTCACTGCGAGCCAACCTTTAGCTCAGAAGGAGTGGTACAAGGACTGCCTCTTACATTGAAGTCCTAAGTGTGACTCCACTCTCACGGAATGTTGGAGGATTCAGATTAATAGTGGAACATAGATTCAAGATATCGTAGCTCCTCCCTTGTTCATGGGTTGACTTTTTTCCCTGTTAATTGAACATTTGCCTTTTTAGTCATTGCTAGTAGACTGGGGTTTGTGCTGCGTTCCTGTCAAACAGCAAGGTTTTATGGACAAATCTCCTGTTATATCTCTGAGCATCCCACATCACCTATCCTACCTGCAGCTCCCAGTCATGGTCTGCATTCAAGTGGTGTCATTGCTCAGTGCTGTGTTTGATAATTCTGTGTTCTGTGGGTTTAACTGAAAGGTACAGCCTTCATTACATAAAAGCAGGAAAATAACAAGATTGAGAGATAGTGAGAACTGCCGATGCTGGAGTCAGAGATAACACAGTGTGGAGCTGGAGGAACACAGCAGCCAGGCAGCATCAGAGGAACAGGAAAGCTAACGTTTTGGGTCGCGACCCCTCTTCAGAAATAACAGGATAGAGCAGTACATCAAGCCTGTCCCACATTCAGCCTGAATATGCTCATTCCATTACCAGTCACACAGACTCCTGCATATGGCAAAGAAAACAAGCAAAATCCCTTTAACCAATGGGCAATTCCTCTTCAATAATCACAGAAAATCGAGCTAAAAAAGACCACAAAATCACTGATAATAACTTGTATTTGTTAGCCCACTAACACTACCCTAGCTGATGGTACTATGGGACAAGTCAGATCCCAGAATGAAATTTGACTTGATGGATCAAATATTTAATTTTCTTTTAGTTAAAGTCATGGTTACTTGACGAGACATTTTCACGTGAGGCTGCAGATGTTCTTTAACAGCAGAACACAAGTTTGTTACACAAAAGAGTGAAAACAAAACAATCAAACCCCAAGTTTGATAGATTTAGCAGACAGTTTAGAAAGATCTTAACACAAAAAGCAAAACAAAGTCTCAGAGATAGTAGGAATTGCAGATGCTGGAGAATCTGAGATAACAAGGTGTAGAGCTGGATGAACACAGCAGACCAAGCAGCATCAGAGGAGCAGGAAAGTTGATGTTTCGGGCCTAGACCCTTCTTCAGAAATGGGGGAGAGGAAGAGGGTTCTGAAATAAATAGGGAGAGAGGGGGAGGCGGATAGAAGATGGATAGAGAAGAAGATAGGTGGAGAGGAGACAGACAGGTCAAAGAGGCGGGAATGGAGCCAGTAAAGGTGAGTGTAGGTGGGGAGTTAGGGAGGGAATAGGTCAGTCCGGGGAGGACGGACAGGTCAAGGGGGCGGGATGAGGCTAGTAGGTAGGAGATGGGGGTGGGGCTTGAGGTGGGAGGAGGGGATAGGTGGGAGGAAGGACAGGTTAGGGAGGCGGGGACTAGCTGGGCTGGTTTTGGGATGCAGTAGGGGGAGGGGAGATTTTGAAGCTTGTGATATTGCTACCATTGATACCACATTGGTGGACTCCCGCTCTCTTGACCTGTCCGACCTCCCTGGACTGACCTATCCCCTCCCTAACTACCCATCTACACTCACCTTTACTGGCTCCATCCCCGCCTCTTTGACCTGTCTGTCTCCTCTCCACCTATCTTCTCCTCTATCCATCTTCTATCCGCCTCCCCCTCTCTCCCTATTTATTTCAGAACCCCCTTCCCCTCCCCCATTTCTGAAGAAGGGTCTAGGCCCGAAACGTCAGCTTTCCTGCTCCTCTGATGCTGCTTGGTCTGCTGTGTTCATCTAGCTCTATACCTTGTTAAGACAAAGTCTCAAGCTGTTTCCAAAGAAATTACAACCTTATCTCAACTCCTTAAGTATTGATTTAACTAACTCCTTTCAGGTTCTTTTCTGTAGACTGTGAAGATAATTTTATAATCTATTTCTCTGTCTTGGGTGTGAACCTGAACCTTCTCAGTTCTAACAACTTTAAGACTCCTATACCAGCCCTTCTGCCTTGGAAACTGCACAAACTATAAAACTTTTTGCTGAGGTGACTGGTTCCTCTGAAAAGGAAAAAACTTGATTGCCCTGCTAGGAGAAACTATTCTACCCTCTGAAATGAAATTCTGGTTCTTCTAAATGGAACTGAAAATCTTGATTCTGAAATCAAAATGAACTAATAAATTTGTGCTGTTTACTGTGCCTATCATAAACTAGCCAGTATCAACATCTTATCAAGTAACACCATGGGGTTCTCCCAAGCATTTTATTGCAGTCATATGATTTCTTAGCAGTGATATATTTAGGTTACTGTTCTAGAATTACTTTCAGGCCTTTTAAAAAACCTTCTTAGAACTGACCAAAATTCCTTTTGCCTCTATTTTAATATTCAACTCCCAAAAGTTATAATACATATATCTTACAAACATTTCATCACACCACTCACATTCTATAAGATGATGCCAAGCAGATACCTGGCTACCACTGGAGGGTTACTGGTAACCAATCAGTGACAAGCTGATAATTTTTGGGGATCTTGTGCTGGGGCTGCAGCTTTGCACACAAACTTTGATTTCCTTCTTTTTCCATAAACAAGATGGCCGGCCATTGTACATCCTGCGGCTGGGACAGATGGACACAAAGGGGTTGCTGAAAGCCGTGGGGGAGGAGGCCATTCTACGACACGTAAGTGACTCAGTGATACTTAGCTGAGAGTGATTAGTAATCCATGTCCAGTGTTGTTCACTGAAACGTAAGAAATGAGGAGACCATTCAGCTCCTTAAGTTTATTTAGCCATTCAATTAGGTTGTGATAATCTGTAATGACTTTATTTAGCTTTAATATCTTTATCTAACGACAACCAACTAATCTGAGTTCTGAAATTTGCATTCACACCTTGCAGCATTTTGAGAGAAACCGTTCGAGATTTACTGTACCCTTTGTGTGAGAAAATATTCCTGGCATCAACACTGAAAAGCCTGGCTCTAATTTTAAAGTTATGCCCCTTGTTCTGTACTTCCTCACAATAGGAAATAGCCTGTCTCTATTTGCCCAATGTAATCTTTGGATCATCTTAACTAATTAAATTAGATCATCCTTTAATCTTCTATACTTGAGAAAACACAAGCCTAGTCTGTGAAATCTGTCCACAGAATTTAACCATATTAATTTCAGTACAATTCTGGTTAATCTGCACTGTACACACTACACTGACTAGATTTTTTTAAACTGGAAGAAGGATTATGATGGGATTTGAACTCTCATTGTCTGGATTATTATTCTGATAACATGTCCACTACAGCAACAGTGCCAATTTACTGCAAAGATTTGTTTTTCTCCTTTATCCAAATGTTCAGAATTTCTGTTCAGAATTCAAAATTCATTGTTGTGTATGGCTTTAGGATCCTGGAGCAACTTTGCAATTATGTCACAGAGGTGTTCTCACAGGGATTAAATAGCATGCCATGGGTGGAGTTAATTAGGTGGGAAGAGAGAAACATACACAGAAAAGCATGTGGAATAGACCGACTATTACTAACCAAGAGTATATCCATAATGTAACATTCAGATTATAGGCTGGTACATCTCTGCTTACCATGTATTGAAATTTTTAGTCTTAATGTGTAATAAATAGTGTTATGAGGTCTTGACAGGTCTTGATCTGGTTTCCTTCTTGACCAGTATATCCTGAACTCAAACTGTGACCTCTTTAGCATATACTGATTTTAATTGCTCTATTGTTGGTGACTACACATACAGAGTTCCCTCCCAAACTTCTTCAACTCTACCAATTTCCTCCTTTTAAGATGGTCTTTAAAAATTACCTCAGCCACCAACTGTCTTAAGAGGTTTTTATGGTGTCAAATGTTGATTGATAATTGCACCAGTGAAGTTCTTTGGACTTTCACTGCACTGAAGTTGCTATACAAACATAATTTGTTGTTGTCAATTGGTGAGGAGGAGGGTATTTGTATTACAGTAATGATGATGAGTTATGGGTTTAGCATCTGCAACATCCATGGTAATACGTAGCTACGAAACTTGTGCTTCCAGGGTGGGTTTTATGGTGTTTTCAGGCAAGTCAATGCCAATGGGTTGGTTTCACAAATTTGGAACCAAAGACAATAGGTTCAGTCACAAGCAGGTAATGCCTGGGATCAGGCTATTGCCATAAAACCTCAGCACTTGCCCAGTACAGTTGGTAACCTTCAATAAAAGATATTCCTTTCATTCCAGGTTCTGTCAATTAATGAAGATGGGCAGAAGAGATGTGAAGAGAATACCAAAGTCTTTGGTCGCCCAATCACGTTAGTATTCCTTCCTTTCTCTATCCCCTCAATTTCCCGTTCCCACTTCTCTCATTGTTCCTGAAATTGCTGCCATTTGCTCAGATAGAGCTCCTCAAGCATTTTCACTCTTGCTTCCTCATTTGCTCTCCCTTTCCTTATTTTCAATTCTCAGTGAACCCCCTGTGTATAACTATCAGATTATGACATAAAGTTTTGAGTTAATTACACAGGCGATCAGGAAATGAATGCTAGGTGGGTGAAAATTTAGGACAGTGGTTGTAGTTTGTTAGCAACTGATTTTGGAGTTAATTCACCAATGCCAGAGAACCAGGGTTTTTCTCAGCTGGGAGAAGACAATGGGGGCAAAGGTGGCATAGCTGAGAGAATAGGGGTACAGGAGTGATAGACTGGGACAGTGGGGAAGAGAAGGGAACTGAGACAATGTAGGATGGCAAGGGATAACCTAGAACCCTGGACAAGAGCAAGGAGATGCTGAGAGAATGGACAAGAGAGAACGAGAGTCAAGCCTGGGTGATGAAGCAGAGCCATGAAGATCTGTCCAGAACATCTGGAATTGGGATGCTGTTTACTGCTCAGCTTCCTATTGTTGATAATCAGTCAATGTTGGGGCAGTGAGTAACTCATGTTTGATTGAATGAGCAGATCATGGACCTGCCTGGTTGACCTGGAAGGACTGAACATGAGGCACCTGTGGCGGCCTGGAGTGAAAGCATTGCTGAGGATCATTGAAGTGGTGGAAGCAAACTACCCAGAGACACTAGGCCGGCTGCTGATTCTCCGAGCACCTCGGGTCTTCCCTGTCCTCTGGACACTGGTGAGTCACAAACTGATGCTGCGTCTGCCCCTTTACATCCAAAAAGTGCCCATTCATTAGACCTCAGATGGTGTCAACTGGACTGTGGAGGTATTGCAGATAAGTCCATTCTTACTCACTATACAAACAAACTCAATCACCTCCAGACATAATTGGGCAGCAGCAGTACCCTTGGCTGATTTATCCCCTCTCTCTAACTCTACAAGACCCAGGACAAACCTGAAACTTCCTGTCTGTAACATTTGTACTGTTTTTATGCTGGTTTAAACACTGTGTCATTGTCACAGCATCTGACATGTGATGTGGACACAATAATAAAGTGATTCAGTTTCACCAGACTCAGTAAACTAGAGAATGTGAAATCATATTCCAGCATGCCACTTTGATTTCAATGTACTCAATTCTACAAATCTACCCAAGAAAGGCTGCTGGCACTGAAAGCAGTGATGAGGCTACTGGATTGTTGTAAAAGCATAGCAAATTCAAAACGTCCTTTTGGGAAGGAATGCTGCTGTCCTTACCTGATTTGAGCTTATATATAACTCTAATCTTACATTGACGTGGTTGATTCTTAATTACCCTCTGAAAGGTTCAAACAAATCACTTCATTATATCAAGCTCCATACAACTAAGGGAAAAGGCAGTAAATGCCAACTAGGTCAGTGATCCTCACATTTCAAGAACTAGTACAGGAGCAGAACTTCAATGACACTCCTGAGATGGCACCTTCCAAACTCATAACCATTTAGAAGCTCAAGGGCAGCAAATACTGGGAAGCACATACATGAGAACACCACCAACTGCAAGATCCCCCCATACTTAATTGGAGATAAATTGCCGTCTCTTCAGTCAAAATCTTGGAGCTCTCTCCTTAATGTCAGTGTGGGTGTACCTACACCAAACAGACTGCAGCAGTTCAAGAAGGCAGCTCACCATCACCATCTCAAGTGGCACAACCAGTGAAACCCACTTGCCATGAACAGATGAGGAAAAATATCTGTATGGACGACCTTGAATTCTGCAAGTTTGATTGAATATCCTGTTATTAGACAGACAGCCTGATCCACCTGTTTGATTCTTTGTGTTCTTTAGGTCAATCCATTCATCAATGAAAACACACGTCAGAAATTCCTCATCTACAGCGGCAACAACTATCAGGGCACAGGAGGGCTTATCGACTACATTGACAAAGAAATTGTTCCTGATTTCCTGGGTGGAGACTGCCTGGTATGAAGTGCTGTTGTGGAGAGTCAGTCAAAGCAGTGTGAGGGTGGCACTGGGTTGGTGATATTGAGGTTAGTGGGGGTGAAGGGGAAGGCAGGAGAGGTGTGGTTCAAACTGTTTAAGGGACGATGTTACTGCTGTCGTAAATAACATGGTAACGGTGGAAAGCTCTCTACAGCTATCACCTTTCAAATAGTTTACTTTTGTTCTGGTTTTGAAGCAGCTGCAAAATGTCTGGGTAGAGTCTATGATAGAGGACAGTGTACGTTAACTGTGGAAACAAAGTAAAATATACAATGACTCACGAGGTAAAATGCTGGAAAGGAAGCCACGCTATTTCCAGGGTCATCACAAAGGTTACAGATTTTATAAAAGTTTGCAAAAGTTTCCAATTTCCTTGTCTTTTAAGTCCAGGCTGATAGAAAGCATTGACCAGGTTTCTAGGCTTAAGAAAAATTACAAATAAATAGTATCTAGGTACAGACGAACAGTTATGAACCGTCAATATATAATTCTACCATTTAAAATTCTAACCCACTTTTAAACTCCCCCTCTATACACACATAGAGACAGAAACAAGCAGGAAACAAAAACATGGGTTTTTAGGAAAGCAGTTCAGGAATCCCTATCCACAATGTTTGCTGATATGATTCTTGTGCCAATCAGAATCCCTTCTCCACATTTATTCACTTTTTAGAGGAGGCACAGGATGACTGGTTCCCACTTATAAAGGTCTTTGACTTATCGATTAAAAGTCACAACTGGAAGCCAGCTATCTTGAGGCTTGAGATGCTTTTTACAACTCCTTCTCCTCCAGAGGTCTGATGCTTTCTGCCAAACATTCACATACTCACACACAATCAAAAACAGAAGGTGTTGGAAAAACTCAGCAGGTCAGACAGCATCACATCCCCAAGCTTTTCAATTACCTGGGAATCAATCACATGTTGCTCTCAGACAGAAGGTCTTTGTCATCAATAACTAATCACTAGTCCACTGACCAATCAACTATTTGCTGCTAGCCAAACATCCATTTGTTCACACCTCTTAGTTTCAGCTTGTTTTCAAACTAAGCTTCCACTACTGCTTGAACAAGTAGCTCTATAAACACTACTTACAATGAGTGTCAGAATCCTTTCTTTTTAAAAGTGTACCAATTCCCCAGCAATTCTTGTTTTTTTTTTAAACAGTTTTTTTCCCATTTCAATCCACAATCAAAAATACTGAAAATTGAAAAGATACAGACTTTACAATTGGCAGGTAGAATGTATATAGATTGTGGGAAGGATATATTTTATTGTAATATTTTGTCACTCACAACTATCCTATGCTTCTTACAGTGTAATATCCCAGAAGGAGGAATGGTTCCCAAGTCTTTGTACCAGACAGAGGAAATGTTAGAAAACGCAGATCAAATCAAACTCTGGACTGAAACCATTTATCAGTCAGCCACTGTCGTCAAAGGAGCCCCACATGAGGTAATAAATTGCCATAAACAGTGCATAGCTTGGCGAAATGTTGCAATTAACTTGATGAATAAACAGTAACTCAACTGTTACACTGAAAAGTCCTTATACAGCCAAATGAAGAGTTACTCCCTTGAATTATACAGTGAACTGAAGGGAAGGTCTTCTAAATAAGCAGTAATTTCATGGCTTCACATGAATAATATTTATATTGTAGAATAATTAGGGATAATATTTATATTGTAGAACAATTAGAGGAAGCGATGGCCTAGTGGTATTATTGCTGGACTGTTAATCCAGAGACCCAGATAACGTTCTGGGCACCCAGTTTCAAATCCTGCCATGGCAGATGGTAGTATTTGAATTCAATAAATATCTGGAATTAAGAATCTAACAATGACCATGAGTCCATTGTTGATTGTCAGGAAAAACCCATCTGGTTCACTAATGTACTTCAGGGGAGGAAACTGCCATCCTTACCTGGTCTGGCCTACATGTGACTCCAGACCCACAGCAATCTGCAATCTGGTTGACTCTTAACTGCTCTCTGGGCAATTAGGGATGGGCAATAAATGCTGCCTAGCCAGCGACACCCTCATCCCGTGAATGAATAAAGAAAAAAATATCAATACTTGAACAGTATATGCCCTGAACTTTTCACTTACTTCATGTGAGTTAGCTTCTTTACTGCAGTTATGCACTCTTCTTTCAGCCTGGCTTTCAATCTAGTTTGCTTTATTTTTGCAGAAGTTGATTGAGATCCTTGAGGCCTCATCTGTCATCACCTGGGACTTTGACATTCTCAAGGGTGATGTGGTTTTTAACATCTTCCATTCCAAGCGGGCTCCTCAAATCATTCGCAAGGATTCAGCAAGCCCACTGGTTCCCCTCCCTAGTGGAAATAATGTGCAACTGATTGAGAAGAGTTGGGTTCTGGGTGTGGACTACAGCTCAGTGGAAACACCACTCATCTGCCGAGAAGGAGAGAGTGTCCAGGTCTGTACACCAGCTCTTTTGCATTCCAGTAAAACCTGCTAACATAACATTTAATAGTGTAGACCGAAACCTTTTTGAACTCCAATATTCTCTGCAGTACCTCCTCTCCAGGAGATGTTAATGCTGGGTAACTTTGAGACTATGCTTCTTTCTCTGTCATTAATGTCTGTCAGCTCGATGCACAACATTTGATGCACTTTCATTTCTGCTTTTCGAACTACAGATCAGAAATAGTTGATGATAGTAACTGTTCTATATTTGGAACTTAAACTTACCCTGGGAATTAATGAACTGAAAAATTCCGTTCATGACTCCAATTACTTTTCTAATTTCTTTAAGTATCGGATGAATTCCCACTGATCTTTTTCACATTAATATTTAACCTCTTTTGGTTTCAGTGACTCAAAGGAGCTCAGTTTCCCTTTAGTTCAAACGCTGCTAAATGAACACCGACAACTTCTATTAATGTAACACTTTTAAGACGAAGCAACAATCCAAGACATAATCAAAAGAAAGGATGCCGAGCCAAAAAGGATATGTTAGGAGAGGACACCTGAAGCTAAATCAGAGAACAGGGTTTTAAGGAGTGTCTTACAGGAGATGAACAGAATTCTAGATTGTGGCTGCTCTTTACCTCTTCCCCTCAGCCCTTCGCTTACAATTGCCTCTCACTACCCTTCTCTTTCCCACTTCCCTCTCTGCCTTTCTCATACCTCATCCCCTCCTTCACTTTTCTAGCCTCATCAAACCCTTTCTAGATTCTATCTCAGTATTGCACAGAGCAGTCTTGTGACCCAGTGAGTAACATCCTGCCCCTGAACCAGGATGTGGAGATCCCAGCGTTGGACTGGGGTGGACAAGGTCAGAAATCACATGCCACCAGGTTATAGTCTAACAGGTATATTTGAAAACACAAGCTTTCGGAGTTACGCTCCTTCTTCAGGTGTTAATGAGAGAAGTAGTATCAGACACAGAATTTATAAGTAAAAGTTCAAAGGGTCACACCACTGATGAGGATGTATTAAACAAACCTAAGATGTTGTTAAATCTTTAACCAGTTAAAGGTTTTTAATTGATTAATATGTAATGTAAATCCCCAAATTCCTTTCAAGAACTAAAGGTTTTATTAGTGTAAAGAAGAGGTGACATTTTAGGTCAGACAATGCATTTAGGTACGAGGCTTTGTTTAGAATCTGTTTGTGTTTTGGTTTGGAGTAGAACTGGTTTTATTTCTAAAGTAGGAATTTATAAAACGCCATATTGACTGACTGTCTATAAATTGTGTGCAATTTGAACAAAATGGAATGTATCTGCAAATACAAATTCACCCCATAGATTCATGTGTGTGTGCGTGTGCTTGACAGACAGTGTATGTGTATATGAGAGAGGATCTGGTGTGTGTGTGAGAGAGAGAGAGAGAGACTGTATAGTGTGATGGGGTCACCTGTAGTGCAACATTAACCCAAGATCCCGGTTGAGGCTGTCCTCAGCTTCTGCTCGGCGACTCTGCATTGTTGTGTATCCCAAAGTCCACCTTGGAGGATGTTTATCTGAAGATCTGAGGCCGAATGTCTTTGACCACTGAAGTGTTCCCCCACTGGGATGGAACATCCCTGCCTGGCGATTGTTGCGTGGTGTCCATTCATCCATTGTCGTAGCGTCTGCATGGTTTCGCCAATATACTATGCCTTGGGGGCATCTTTGCCTGCAGAGTATGAGATAGACAACATTGGCCGAGTCATAAGAGTGGGTGTGTGATGGTAGTGTCCATGTCGATGATCTGATATGTCTTGCAGAGGTTACTATGGTAGGGTTGTATTGTGTTGTGGTCAATGTTGTCCTGAAGGCCGGATAATTTGTTGCGAACAATGGTCTGTTTAAGGTTTGGTGGTTGTTTGAAGGCGAGACGTGGAGGCATAGGGATGATCTTGGCAAGGTACTCATCGTCATCGATAATGTGTTGAAGGCTGCAAAGAACATGACGCAGTTTCTCTGCTCCCAGGACGACGAAGGGTACAGTATCAGACGTATTCCGTGTCTGTCTTCTGAGGAGGTCATTACAGTTTTTCGCTGTGGCATGTCAGCACTAACGATTGATGAGTTGAGCATCGTATCCCGTTCCTATGATGGCGTCCTTCAACACCTTCAGGTGTCCACCTTGTTTGTCCTCATCCGAACAGATCCTGTATATGCGTAGGGCTTGTCCGAAGGGGCTGGCTGTTTAGGGTGGAAGCTAGAGAAATGCAGCATTAAGAGACTATCTGTAGGTTTGCGGTAGAGTGAGATATTGAGGTGTCCATCCCTGATGGAGATGTATGTGTCCAAGAATGAGACAGATTTTAAAGAGTAGTCCATGGTAAGTCTGATAGTGGTATGAAACTTATTGATAATGCTATGTAGTTGTTTCAGTGATTCCTCGCCATTAGTCCAAAGGAAGAAAATGTTGTCAATGTATCTGGTGTATAGCATTGGTTAGAGGTTCTATGAAGTGAAGAAGTCTTGTTTGAAGCTGTGCATGAAAATTTTGGCACATTGGGGAGCAAGTCTGGTCGCCATGGCTGTTCTGTGTGTCTGGATGAAGAATTAGTTGTTGAAGGTGAAAACGTTGTGGTCGAGGATGAAGCAGATGAGTTGTAGGATGGCATCTGGAAATTGGCAGTTGTTGGTATTGAGTACTGAGGCTGTTGCAGTGATGCTATTGTTGTGGGGGATGCTGATGTAGAGTGCTGAAATGTCCATTGTGACGAGGAATGTTCCTGGTTTGACTGGTCCCTGGGAGCTGAGTTTCTGTTAGAAATCTGTAGTATCGCAACAGAAGCTGGGAAGTTCCCTGTACAATGGGTTTCAAGACGCCCTCAACATAGCCAGAGAGGTTCTCACACAGGGTCCCATTGCCTGATGCGATGTGATGTCCAGGTGCGTTGGCTTCATGTATCTTTGGAAGGCAGTAGAAGTCCTCTACGTGGGAACTACGTGGGATAACAGTGCAAAGGGTACTCTGACGGAATGGATCAGAAGTTTTGACCAGTCTGTTCAGTTGACGGGTGTGTTCTTTGGTTGGATCGGCAGGTGTCTGTGGTGTTACTGGTTGTTCAGCTCCTTGCAGTAGTCCATTCTATTGTGTATGACGATGGCTTCTCCTTTGTCTGTTGGTTTGATGACAATGTTGTAATTGGTCTTGAGAGCATGGATGGCATTGCGATATGCCTGGGTGACATTTTGCACTACATTGTGAGTGTGGCTGATGAATCTGGCATTCACGCATTCTCTGATGGCTTCAGCATACCTGTCAAGCCCTACCTTATTGGATATAAAAGGAATGCTCATGGTTCAGCCAAAGAGATTGATTACCTGCTAATTCTTCCAATATGTTCGTAACCAATGAGAAGAGTGGAAGAGATTCCTCATCAACCATGAGATGCAGATTGGTGCCTCTCAAACCATAGCCTCTTGTGTCTCTTAAGCAAACAGAGATGCATGGAGATAGTAAGAACTGCCAATGTTGGAGTCTGAGACAACACAGTGTGGAGCTGGAGGAACACAGCAGGCCAGGCAGCATCAGAGGAACAGGAAAGCTGACGTTTTGGGCTCAAATTTCTGGAGCAGGCCTTGAACCCACAAACTCTTGTCAGGTGAGAGTAATGCCTGTTTATCCATGGCTTACCCACACAGGCAGAAAGGAGGACATATTTTAGAACAAGTTTATTTTTATTGTGATCATAATCTTTCAATTGTCTGGTGGTTTTTGCAATCCTGCTGATTTAGGGATTAAATGCTTTCTGTCTTCAGGGTTCACATGTGACACGCTGGCCCGGATTCTACATCTTGCAGTGGAAAATGCATAGCCCCTGGTCGGGCTCCTCAAACCTCCCTCGCGTTGATGATGTATTGGCTTCTTTACAAGTTTCCTCCCACAAGTGCAAAATCATGTTTTACACAGAGGTGCTGGCGTCAGAAGATTTCAGGTGGGTGAATATACTTTATCATCAGCTGATGCACATTCCTTGCCCCAACCAGGTCCCAGCCCCTCACAACTCTCCTGCTTCAATCAGGATGTGCTGTCAGGGAACAGGAAGAAGCACCATGGTGGAAAAGGATCATCAGCTTGTAAAACCTGCTGAGTGATTGTTTCCTCAGTAAAATGACTGAGTGAGGCTTCACCTTTCAGGTGGATGGATGTGTGTTCCCATTGATGTCTGCTCAGAAGTGTTCTTTAAGAGGCAGAAAATTATATTGAGGTGGTCTCCGAGCCACAGTTTGAGCAGGAGGTCACAATACCTGCAGCATTCAATTGATCAGCTGAGATTTCTAATGTTCCTTGTCAGGACTGTAATACTTCTGAACTGAAACAGCCTCCTGAGGCCAAGTCTAGTGCAGCAGGCAAGTCATTCCCACTCCCACTCTTGATCTCTGTAGCACTGCAACTTTATTTATTGCAAGTGTCCATTCAATTTATTTTGAAATCATTGAATATTGAAAATTCTGTGAGGGTCGAAAAGGATACAGAACTAAGGAAAATGATTTGGCATTAAATGCAGATTAGCTAGGAATTCATTAAAAGGCAGAAAATGCCTGAGAAACTGAATGACAGCCTCCTGCACTTATGATCTGGGTCTGTCACTGGAGGAGACGCAATAATAAGCATGTTGTAATAAATGGCCCTTCTCTTTACAGGGGATCCATGACGAGCCTGGAGTCCTGTCACAGTGGATTCTCGCAGCTCAGTGCTGGCACCACCTCCTCCAGCCAGTCTCAAAGCAGCTCACATATTTCCAGATAGGAAGTTCTTGGTCTGCAATGTATTTGTCAAAAAACACTGAACCAAAAAGCTGTAGCTGCCTCAGGACCAGGTGCAATGATAGCTGGTCCATCATTTTGGGTGCTGGTTACCCGGGTCCTTCACTCATCTCACTTTAGTGCAATAATAGCACCGAGTACAATGCAACATTTCAAAGTTCAATGTACACTGTACTGTGCAGGGAAGACATGTTTCACTAGTTTGCTCTCCCTAGGCTGTGTATTGAATGCACAGCATTGAACATTGTCTTCCAGAGAGCAGGGACAATGAGGAAAAGGTGCCTTATGCTTTGTCTTCCTTGGCCTATCAGCAGATGATCCATGACATCCTTCAACTTAGTTCAATTTAACTCCTTGAGCAAAACCTCAGCATATCTAACCATACAATTTAATTTTGCACATTGTCCAGAACAGAAGCCATTTACATTCATTCCTGCAGGCTGGGAATCACAATGTACTTGATTGTCTAAATCTACAGTGAGCAATCATTCCTATCCTAATAATATTCACCCTGCTTTCATTGTAGGATTTTTCTTCTAATTCAGAGATTAACTGGAGCAAATTAATTTTATCCTTCTGGGTTCACTGTTCATACTGAATAACCTGCATACATCCTTATTACCTACTACTTCCGATATCTTAGACATTACTCCTGAGGTCTCATACTGCCTAACTTAATTCTCTGGTGAAACCTGTTGAATTCCAAAATCCAGGGGTTGTCCAGACTTCTTTTCCCTGAACCCTCCCCACCATACCAAAACACTTGTGCTGGTCATGTCTGTCACATAATACTTCACAGGTATTTTCTTAGATGGTATAAAGTTAGGATAGTAAATTCCCAAATGCATGTGATGCCTTTATTATATCAATGATATCAACTGAGAGTACTGTGTATGGTTTTGGTTTTCTTCCATTAGCGGGAAATATACTTACATTGAAAGTAGTTCTGAGAACATCCATCAAACTAATTCCTGAGATGATGGCGTTTTCTTGCAAAGAGAGGTTGAGCAGGTTTGCCCTATACTCATTGCAGTTCAGAAGAATGAGAGGGTCTTATTGAAACTTGGAAGATTCTGAACAAAAATGAGGGTAAATTCTAAGAGCTTGTTTTGCCCTCATGGGGAATCCAAAACCAGGGTTTAAAAATGGAGATGAGGATTTGCTTTCCCTCTTGGGTCATTAATGTTTGTAATTCTTTTCAAAAGAAAGCTGTAAAAGCTGAATAATTGAATATCTTCAATATCTGAGTGAGGTAGTCTATTATTGAATGAAGTGTTATAAGGGTGGGAGGGGAGATAGGAAGTAGAGAAAAGGCCACAGATAAAATCAATCATAACCTTATTAAATGGTGGAGCAGGCTAGATGGATTGAATGGCCTACCCCTGCTTCTATTTCATTGTAGGGAGGGAGCTGATGATGCCCAGACACCTTATACCCTCATGTTTGATTTACAATTAGATAAGCTTTGAAAATCCACAAAAGGATCTGAAGTCTGAACATGGATCACATTAAACTACTTAACTGAAGTCTGACCCACTGAGAACAATTATACCAGCAGAGTATTCTACTTTGAGAGAAGTTATGTTTGATTGAAGTCACGTTACCAGGAGCATTAATGAAGGGAGGAGATTGGTAGGGAAGAGGTGAATTCCTTTAGGTTTTTTAACCCTTAAGTTTAGATCTCCATTAAGGATTTCTGAATCTTGACCATCCTCCTTCAGCCATGGCTGGTTGGCCTCTTGCTTCATGGACAGAACAATTTGGTTCCATGTTAGCTGCTGTAGCACTTGGAACAATCCCACCAAAGTTTCCATGTTATGATCACTTAGTTGCCTCACCTTTATTATGACATGTCCAAGACCAAGCTTTGCAGCTACTGTTCTTTAGCAGGTTAATGATCACACCTCAGTCAGGTCTGATGGTCATAAATTTATCATTGTGAATTCTCATAAAAATGAGAAACAGTACTGTTGTGATAATTTTGGACTGCTTTAATGTCTTCTCTTGGTTTACTGAAGAATCTCCACTTCAAGGGCTTTCAATTGCAGAAACCAGCAGTAATTCCTGTTCAACATTTACCAGTGTTAATAAATGCACAATATCAGCCTGCCTTACAAAGGAGGGGTGTCTAACCATGAACGCTTGAATCCAGATCTGTTCAACCTATCAGCAAAATGAAAACTCTGCAAATTACTGGGAAGTGGTTCAAACTTCAGGTGACTCCCAGCTGCCCGCATAAGATTCCTTAGACACTTTGGCGATCAAGTGATTCTTGGTCCTTGCACTCTTTACATGTAAGCCTGGTGTACATACTGGAACAGAAGTCTCTTGTAAACTGATTTTTGTGTGCATGTTTTCTATGTAGTTACCTGATGTTAGAATTAACAAATTTAAATTTTGGGGGCTAATGCTTGAAACTTTAATTGTAAAATAACTGAAGGTTTTAATTATAAAAACCAGTTTAATTGAAATAAAATACAACTTTAATACAAGTGTTAAATTTTTGAGGAGTCAGATTGTATGAATGTGTTGATTTCTTTGCAAAATTCATTATTTCCTCTTTATTTTGTCTGAGAGGGAAAGGGCTAATAGAGGTAAAAGATTATTTTACCGAGTGTGTTCCAACACTGGACTCCCCATGGAATTCCACCACTGTCGAGGCATAAGTCTGATAGAACATATTCCTTTTGTTACAAAAGAAAGGAAAGGTATTTGTTTCCGTCAGATGCAGCATTGTGACCTACTAAAAGACATTTCTCACCAGGGACCTTCGCTTAAACAAAAAACAGTTCTGTATCATTGACTCTTCTCATTCAGTGCAGTATGCTTGAGGGTGTTCATTTGTCACCATTGTGGTTTGCAATTTCAGTTCCTATTACAACTTGAGTAAATATCAAAAAGTGACTCATCCTTTAAATCTCCTGTCCACCAGACTGAATGCCACTATGGTTAGACACTAACCATTACTTTGGTGACCAGGATTCAGACAGTTTAGACTCCTATGCTGTAAGCTACCGAGTCTGCTGTCTGTTACAGGTTTGTGTGAAATCAACTTAGTCCTAACTCCTAGTAGCTGATACATAGTAGCATAGTACATAACAACACATTATTTGATAAAGGTGGAGGAGGCTTGTGACCGTCTCTACTTGTGCTGAATGTGCCCTAAGAGTGTTTAAGTCAACAGTGTGGAGGGAGCTTTACTCTGCATCTAACCTATGCTATACCTGCTCTTCAACTGCTTCATCTTGGCACAGGATTATCCATATGGAAAGTGTTCTTGTCATCCTGGAACCACAAAATTCAGAAAGAAATAAATCTCTGATTCCTTTCCATATTTTTTACTGATTGGTATTTGCAGCCTCTTCAGCTTTAGAGTCACAGGGTAAAATGGAAACAGCTTCAGTTTCTGGGCAAGTAAGAATTAAAGGTTCTGACAGCCTGGACAGCTCTGTCTGTAAGGCAACAGGTCTCATAACAAATGGCTCTTGTAACTGGTGGCACCAGATCCAAGCAGTCTGGGCTCATATTTCCTACTAATTTAAATACTGTCACCTTACCTTGAGAACTGATTGGAAGGAGAAAAGAGATTATTTACTTTATAATTCCTCACATCTGCCAAGCACTGTTGCTTCTGTAAAATGGAAATGAATATTTTTGTTTGGGAATACTCTGCTCTTTGCTTTAAACGAAGAGGAGAAAGAGGAATGAGTTATATTATTCCAAAAGCACATGACAGAGGGAATATAGCTGCCAAAACGTGCTAAACATTGAACACCAGGCCAGGACCATGCCCAGTAGTGCTGATGTCAGTCAGGATGGAAGAAGAGACTGGACTCAATGTGACCAGATTAAGAGTGATGGAACAGCTCAAAATGTGGCTACTTGCTGCCTAAATGTACACAAAGGGGGGTGGAGGGGCGGAGGAGGAGCTGGAGGAGAAAAAAATTAAAGGCCACGAGAGGACAAAGCCCAACACTGCAACAGGCAGTTACACTGCTTTACTGGGAAGCAAGTTTAGAACAGAATTTGCCAGCATTGCATTTTCTCAACATGACAAAAGATGTAGACTGTGCAACAAAACTCTAGCATGGTAGGGAGAATAAAAATCATTTATTCTGAAAATAATGAAAACCCAGAGTGCGTCAGTCAGACCAAAAGATACTTTCCCAACTCTGAAAGCAGGCTGGTCCTCGATGCCTGATTGCAGCTGATCTATTGTGAGAAGTGTTGGTGTTTTTTGTTGACCAATTTTCCCAGCTTTGGCACTGAGGTTGGCTGTGTCCCCTCCCTAGCAGATAAATACTATTAAGGATGAGAGAGAAAAAGGCAAATGGTCTAGTGATCGAAATTAGGTAGATGTTCACTGCTGTAACAGATTAAGTATACTTTATGATGTGATCCTCATCTACGTAAACCTGGAATTTACAGGTCAACTCAGAGTTGTTTTTAGTTGCACTAGGATTTAGCTTGATGTCTCTGGTTTAGGGAAAGTTTAGACAGTTTTTTCACTCCTTGTTGTTCAATTCCTCCCTGAAGTACAGATGTAGTCATCAGAATCAGGAACAGCCATGGCGCACGCTGAGGCTGAGCAGGCTGCTGATACTAGGGGTGCCCAGACTCCAATGGGAGAGGGAGAGAGAGAGAAATGTGCACCAGTGAAAACTGGCACCTTCTCACAAGACAAATAAATGTGTTCTCAGACTCAATGATTACAGATGACTGCATCTCCAGGTCAGAAAAGTAACAAGTTCCCAAGATCCAAAACTTCAGACCTTAATTGTCTTTTCCATTGACAGCCTTACATTCCACTGAGCCCTTTGAGTCAATTATTCTACAAGTACTAGTGAACATGGAAGACAAAATCTTCTTGGTTCAGACTTCTCTCATGGAGGTCACCCTCTAAGGACACTTAATTATTGGCATTTTCTCCTCCTGAATCTTCTACAAAATGCAGGGTTTGTGTATGTGTGTTCTGTTCAAGGCCAGACTTTGGCAGTGTCTCCTACTCCAACTTGCAGTGACCTGATTACAAGGAGGTGTCCCTGATGCAATTTCAAGAAATGTTAACAGATGGATCTGAACCTTGTTTGAAGATTATTCTGTGGAAACACCAAGTTTCTTCTTGAAGTTTTCGAGTAAAAGCAAGCTCTGCAGAGCTGACCTGCGGCAACCTTCATCTGCATCATTCTCAGCAACATCTGGAAAGAAAGTAACCTCATCAGGATAAGTTTGCAATGCTGGAAGTCAGGCACCACAGCATTCAGGGTGCAGATCATACCTCACAATCCAGAAGTCGTTTGGACCCTCAATGGGGTATGGCAGACAGGGGAATTCCAATCATCTGGCCAAAGTTCATTTCATTGCACATCTTTGATGTAGCACATAGCTTATTATGCTTTCTACACTGCTTGACCCACTGTTGTTGGATTCCCTGCCAAAGGGGAACTAAGATCCAATCCCAAGCAGTCAGCTTGTTTACCTGCAGAGAGATGTGTTCAGAACTTCCCCAACTTAGGAGAATCCTATTCTTTAGAACATCTGACTATGCAAATATACTGAATAAGTCATTAGATTAAAGTTGCATTAAAAAAAAAGTGCCTCCAACAGTGCAGTGCTCCCTCACTACTAATGCTCTGACAGTTCAATGCTCTCTTATTACTGATGTGAAGTGGATTTTGTGATCAATTCTGTTGTTGGCTGCAGCCTTCTGACTTAGAGGTGTGACTGCTACCTCTTTAGCCACATTTGACCAGGTTCAGAATGTGTGTGTAGTTTGAGGGATCATTGGCCCTCTAATGTTTCATGCAAAAGCAGAGTTTGAATGTTTTTGTGATGATTCAATGTTTATTCATAAACTGACCTCTGTCTCATTACTTGGCAGCAGCTGAAGTCCAGGTTTAGAACACTAAATTCTGAAGGAGAGTCATACTGAATCCAAAATATTAAATCTGTTTCTCTCTCCACAACTGCTATTCAACCTGTGGAGTTTCTCCTGCATTCTGTGTATCTGATCCAAATTTATGACATTCATGACAAACCTCAGCTCATATACATGCAGTGGGGTTAGCCTGGGAACAACACCATGTCCTTAAGCAGGAATGTCAGCATCTGACTTGCTGCATTACCCAGGTGGTAAACCACTTGGAACTTCGTAGAAGATTAGATTAATTTAGGGTATCTGGTTGACATAAACGAGTTAGATTGAAGGGTCTGTTTCCATGCCGTACATCTCTATGACTCACCTGCAAGCCAGGATCTAATTTCTAGGAGTTCATCTGGAACTTCAGTCAGGAGGATGTGGCTGGGAACACTCAGTAACACCGAGGAGACAGCAAACAGTGTGCCCTGCCGCACATACCTAACAGATTAACAACAGAGACCTCAGAGTTGGTTAACTATCCTCCCAAATACTGGGATCTAACCAGAGAACTTACAGCACAAACCAGCAAGGCAATGCTACAATGCCCTACCACTCCTTCCCATGACCCCATCTGCCCCAAGTGTAATAAGGCCTGCGGTAGCTATATTGGTCTGCACAGCCACTTATGGACTCACCCTGAGAGTGGAAGAGAGTCATCCTCATCTATAAGGGACCGCTAATGCTACAATAACCCAACTAATGTAGCCCAGGCACTAAAACAGTATCCTTCCAACCAACCACAAAGGTGTTCAAAAAATCTCTCAGCAGTGAAAATACATGGGCTGGAGATATATAGGCTCAAGGAAATGTGAGCAAGGCACATAGTACCATTAATGGAAGCAGGAACCTCTCTCACCTTCTGTCTCATTCCCTCACACTATTGTTGCCTGGATCTCCACTTGGATCACGCACCATTGATCCCAAAATTGTTAGGTTCCATCAAGGAGTATTATTGGCCAAATGACTCCTCTCTAGACAACCTGCAAATGATCACTGGAGAAGTGGTCATCCAGAGTAACAGTAGGTCTGAATTCAACATGTGATCAGTCACGAACAGTGATGCAAGGTAAAAGACAGCAGGAACTTGAGAGAACGCAAGTAGAAAAAACAATCAAAGGGTAACTGAAGACAGATGGCAGTAATGATAAAGACACAATGGTAAAAGCACAGATAGTACAGATAGGGTTAACACTGAGGCCACAGGAAGCTCAGAAGTTACTTACGCGTCTGTGTGATATCGAACAGCCCAGATGAAATCCAGCAGAGCTTTCCCCATGTGAATGGCAACCTTGGGGAGGATAAAATTACTGATTACTCACACACAGCTCACTCTCCACTTGCATCTCTCAACATTAACATTACATAAAATCTTACACAAAGCACCTGTGCTTCTATTTAAATTGCTTGGACACTGTTTCATTAATCCTGCACCAGAAACAGTCCAAAACTGTGCCCAAAGATCCCCTGTGAATGACTGTTCACCGTTCCTAAGTCCATTACTCACCATGGCATTCACAGAAAAGTACATTATAATTGCCAGTGTGTGAATTAGACGTCCCATCATCAAAGGCTGTTCAGCCAGGAAATCAAACGGTGTCTGTGGCCTGGAGTGAACAAAACAGTGGTCACTGCAATGGAGTAAAGCAGTGGTAATGTGTGAATTGGAAGTAAAAAGCAGTCATCTACATGGCTTGGGGGCCATAGTGAAACCTGAAAATTTGAGATGACAAGGCTTTCTTGGGCCAGAGTACTAAGTCAGGCTCAAAATTGCAGGCCTTCACTGTGGGATAACTGTAATAAGCCTGTAATAAGTCTGTGCATGCCATTTAGGTTCATAAGGAAATTGGCTTGGTCTTGGGGCTGGAGCAGTGACCAATCAGGGCTGTCAGAGAGTCCTCTCCTCAACTTCACAGTCTGCAATTTTCTTCCTCAGAACCTACTTTCACTCAGGCTTCTAGCCCTTTCTCTTGATTTTTTTTATTGATAGCCAGAAATGCTTCCAGACAAAACTGAACTGTTTTTTGTAGCATCACCAAATCACCCTCGTTATTGTTTTACTCCTTCGTCTTTCACCACTAAATCACCAGTGTTTCCAATTATTGTCAATTCACATGTAAAGTTCCTCAGGGGGAGTACAATACCACCAAAGTGAGGGAAAAGTCAGAAGAAAGGGAGAGGATTAAATCAAAATGGAGTTAAAAGGGGAAATCAGACATTCCATCCCCTGTGGTGATCAGACATTCTATCCCCTGTGGTGCCCACCTCTCTCTAAACGTATTTGGAGTATTGGCTGATGCCATGAACTCCCTATCCAAGGACTTCCAAGCACCAATGTAGGAGTGGAAAAGGGGAAGGCAGTCTGGAGTTATGACCCCTCAGTGTGCTGTCTGGGCCTGCTGCTTTTCAGAGATGTTATAATACACCTCTGGAGGTGAGACTTGAACATGGGCATTCTAGTCCAGAGGTGGGGTCACTACTGCTGTGCCACAAGAATGGCAGATTGACGGCACTTTTCTAGTTTGGCATAGATTACTTGCAGATGTTGTATGTTTCAAGTACTTGAGGGATTCAACTTATTATTGTCCTTTTGTGGAGGCTGGAACAAGCTGACTAGGGTAAGGCAGGTCAGTTTGGGCTTTCCATGATAAATCAAAAAGAAAACAATGAGCAGAGACAAATTCTTGTAAAGCTTCACAGACTGAGATATATTACCTGTCATAATTTCTGATCAGAGGAAAGAAGAAATGTCCAGCTACTGAACTCAGCCTGTTGGGAACAGCCTTGGGTTCTGGTCTTGATGCTCCCTGAGAAAAATGAACAATCATATCACCAAACATACAACAGGAGCAGGAATTTCCATTCAAACTAGTGTCACAGCAGAAGGGAGGGAGAAGGGGAAAGACTTACAGCGGTGGGGTGGGGAAAGAGAGAGCGAGACAGAGAGCGAGAGAGAGAGAAAGGGAGGTACACAGTGAGACCAACAATGAAATAAAATAAGACAAAGACTTTAAATGTGCAAACGATAAAGTGAGAAACAGAATGAGACATGGATGTGATATAGCTATGAGGGGACAGAGAGAGACACAGACGGATAATTAGGGAGGAAAGGGTGGATTTGCCACTTGTCAGAGAGGGAGAGACAGGCTCTGAACAACCTTCTGTTTGTTTCAAATTAGCCAAAGGCTGACTCTGACCTAGTACCATGAGCTCAGTGATTTCAGAAGCCCTACAGCCTTCCCCCAGGATTGTTACATTCCATACTTCAGGCCCAATAACCTCTCCTGGTCGCTCCACATTTAAATGCACCCAGCCAAACCATAAGCAGCTTTCTCAGGCCCTGCTCTCTCAGTGCACAGTCCCCACCTGTTTTTGCTCAGCTCTGCCCAGCCCTACACCCACCCTGGCTCTGAGCTTACTCTGGTGAAGCGACGGGTCTTGTTTTCTATCCTTTTCTCAATGATTTTCTTCCATTGCTGGCTGGGATTGTGTGGACCAGAAGCTTCTGACCTCAACAGCTGAATGGAGGGGCTCTCACTTGTTGCTGTCTGGCTGCTGTCAGGCTGGGATAGCTCCAGAGCAGCCAGTGCCAGGACCTGAGGGAAGACAAAACACTCTTCGAAAATTTGTGGAACCAGGAGGAAGTTTCCAACAATGTAAGAAATTAATTTAAAGCAGTAATTTGTGAAGGAGGAAGTTAAACACTCACATCTAAGATGTCCAGACGTTGAGACAGGCTATAATTCACAGCGTAGAACTCTGTGGTAAGATACTGAGTGACCTGCAATAAAGGTAAGAAGGGTGAAGTGCTCATTCTATACTGGGAAGGTCTGACTCTGAACAAGCAGCCTGTCAAGTTGGGTGGGAGTGAGTAGGAGACAGATCCGGAATACGCTGGATCCAGAGTAGTGATGGTGGTATTGCTTGGAGTAGGGAGAGAGCAGCATGATTGAGGGCCAGAGGAAAAATTGGACTCCGGTGCCTGGGCTGGGGTGGGGCTAGTGGGGTAGGGTTGGTGGTAGTTAAGAGGGCTGGAGTCCACGTAGATGAAGATTCTCCTGTTAATATAGTGGTAGGAAATACAATGTCAGAGTCCCAAATCAAAAAGGTTACAGGTGTGGGAGCAGTGGAAACATGGAAAAGTGGAAATCCGTGGAAAAGTTTAAGGTCAATGAGAATTTAGCAACACAGAGCAATGGAACAGTAGACCAGTTTTGGTTTAAGTAGAATTAGAACACTGGGAAATTGATGATAGTACATATTAACTGTATGTTTAGGGCAAAAACAGCACCAGACCCCTGGAATGAACAAACTGTGTTTCTTCTCCAGCAACTTCCTCTGTACTTACGGGAATTGTGTCAGTGACAGTGATTGCCACCAACCCTCTCTGTCGCAGTCCCATGAACCCAGAGATGTTAAATTTGTCCTCAAGGTGGAGGAGAACCTTTGTTAACTGCACACTGATCTGTGGAAAAGAATAATAAATATCTTCAGACCCCATACAGAAATAGTACTGAAAAATTGAGTCCAATGAGTTATTCCAAACTGTCATATGCCGAAAAATCCCAAATACTGCATAAACAGATGGGTGTGGAATGTCGACTATGACACCAGATCTAACTGTTTTTCAAACAGTGCTATTTAAAACCCATACCTAAAATCGGAACCTGCAGTACTGAACCTTGGATTGTGAATGATTTCTGCAGCGCTGACCCTGGAACTGTACATTGCTTCCACCGTCAGCCTGGTTTTGTGTTCAAGTGTTTGGTGTGAAGAGCAATCCCACAGTTTCTGAATCAAGGTGTCCATCAAATGTAAAGTACCATCCCCACAGTTCATTATCAAAAGCTTTCACAATTTTGATAATAAATCCTATCATCACCCCTCCCCTTCTTTCTCCCCCACCCCAACCTCCTTCTCACCTCTCTACTTGCAGTTGGATTTTTTCTAATCAAGTTTTCCACAACCTTCAAAGTTATTTCAATTTGTTCTGGATCTGCAGATGTCATCAGGACTGCAAAAAAAAAAAAACAGAAATTAATGTGCAGGCTAAATGAGTAAGAGGTTAAGGGAGAAGACATACAGTTCTCTGCCAATACCATTTAATTAGTAGAAAAATAGCATCAAGAATCTGTTATCAGGAATGGAAAGGGAGATGACGCCCATCAGGCTGGTCACTCGGTGACCCCCTACACACAGACAGTCACTCAGTGTCCCCACAGACATACACACTGACAAATCACTCAGTAACCTCCCTCTCTGGGCACGAGGTTACCTTCTACACAGTCACTGATGTAGACTGGGGCCCGATTCCTTTGCAGCTCAGTATCAATCGACAGGTCATATGGAACCAGTTCGTCATCACTACAAATAAAAAATGTTAGATGTGAGCAATTGGAGCGATGGTGGGGTGAGACGGGCAGAGAAATGGACAGATGGATAGAATTCCCTTGAGCACTGTACTCATTCTGGGACTCCGTTTGAACATACAATGTCCTGCCTTAGGAGGCAAGAATGTAACCACTGTACACAACTGAGTCTCCTCTTTTTAGTTAGAATGAGAAACAGACAATGGCTGAATCTGGAAAGAGATGAAAACTAACTATGGGGCAATCTGTTTTTACTGACCTGTCAAGTTCAGACTCAGACTCTGTGTCCTGCACTTCCTGCATGGGCTGTCTACTGTCCACAGGATTCAGATTGGTCTCTGCCAAGTTCAGTCCACTCTCTAGCTGTGAGCTTTCATCTCTAGAAATGAATGAAAACGCATTAAGGTCCTGGTAACCTTGATTTTGCCCAGTGAATTGAGTTTCTTACTCATGAGTAGGAGAGTTAGGTGAAAGTATAAGAACTTGGCTTCAGAACTGTGGAGGGAATGGGTGAATTCTCACCGGGGATTCAAAGACTGGCACTGCAAAAAAAATGATGAGAGAGTATGGAGTAACAAGCAAAATTTAATATATTGTTTCCACTCTGAGTAAACACGTTTTGGACTAGTTTATATCTGCATCTGTCCTCCCATTTAACATTTAATACTCAGGGTGTTGAATGATCACTGATTTCAGAAACACTGCACTTCAGAGATAATAACAACTCAAACCGCCTCTCAACAGGCAGGCAGGTTTATCAGCAGTCTGAGGAAAGGTTACACAGTTAAAGTTAACAGGAGATGCACTGAATGGGAAGCTGTACATGTGCAGTATTTTTGGTTGTATTTTGCAGGGCGAGTCTGTTTTGAACATTGACAGTTCACTTACTTGTGCTGCTGTGGAGGGGCCTCCCAGCTTGACAGCAGCCTCGGGGTGGACAGTGACTTTAGTTCCCTCAACTCATCATCTTCTGTGTACTGAAGGCCAGAATAAAACCATCATGTCAATCATTGTACCGTTAGAGAAACAATGAAGCTTTTGACAATCAAAATTCACATCAGAGCTTAGTGAGTGATTATGAGCTTGAATAATATATGGTCAGTGTCAAAAAACCAAAAGAACTGTGGATGCTGGAAATCTGAAACAAAAAAGAAGAAATTGCTGGAAAATCTCAGCAAATCTGGCAGCATCTGCGGAGAGAAAGCAGAGTTAATGTTTTGGGTCTAGTGACCCTTCTTCAGAACAATCAGTGTCAGTTGTATACACACCAATCTCCTGGCATTTAGATTAGAACTAAATGATCTTGTAATAAACCAGGATCAATTCCCAGTGGAAAGTGATCCAATTTCCCAATCTCTGCAATGTGGCAAAAGTCCCACTGGCTGTATGGAGTTTGTGGGTCAGTTGTTGAATCAGAGGACGTTGGATTTGAGCCTCACCTCAGAATAATCTAGGCCGACACTTCACTGCTGCACTGCGAGGAGTGCTGCTTCTTTGATGAGGTGTTACTGTATATGGTGACAGAATACTTCATCAGAACTGCAACCCTTAGCTCTTTGCCCACTTCTTGAAATTATTAAAAGTAAGGAGCATTCACTGACAAAGTGTTTTATAAATTCAACACATCTTTCCTTTAGCAGAATGTACAGAATAGGCTCAAACTCAAACTCCATTTCTGAAACTCCTCTGATCGCTCAATCTCTCAACACAGCTCAAGTGAAGCAAATGGGTCAAATGTAGGGTAGGCTGGTTTTAGACTCACTGTGTGGAGAGATTATGGGGCAATCTGTTAAACCTTGCCAAACCTGTAGCATGAGTTCTCCACAGTCAGAGTCCGTGCTCTGTATCCTCAACTTTGTCAGACCTACCTGGAACTTGAGTCTGTGATCCCCAGAGTTCACCCTTGCATTGAGACATTCTGCAACAACCATCCCCAGCTGGCGAACACGGGCTATATTGCTGTCCAGGTGACACTCCGTCCCAGCCATCATCCCAGAGAGAAGCTCTACAAACACAGTGCACCAAACAACATGGAGACTGACATACTTACTAATACATCACCCCCTCACATTGCCCCATCCATCAAGAGACTCTCCTCTGTCATGTCAACCTCTCACATCACCAACCTCCACACTCAACTCTCACAATCCAAATACACCCTCAGTAGAAGTTTGATGAAGCATTCAAAGACACTAACATGCAAATATACACCAAGACACTCATGTACACTCCTGTGGGCCAATATGCACCCAAGGCCGACACAGTTCCATGAGCTGACACATACTCACAGACTGACTCTCTCCCGCAGCTGTCACTCACCCACACAAACCTGTTTTGTGTTCCTGTATCTGTGAGTCTGAGAGTTCTGCAAGAATGATGACAATGGCCTTGCTGATATAGAGCTGCTGTTCTATGGGGGTGTGTCTCAGGGCACTGCTGTTACTCCAGGTCTCCAACAACTTCTTAAGCACCTGGGAAAGACACACAACCTCAGAATGTGTTACAACTCAGTCTGGACTCAGCTCTCCGCTTTATTCCTGCTATTGGCTTGCCAGGCAGGATGTGCAAAACAATCAAGGCTAGTTCCTATGCTTATTATGCTGAGACTTAGGAGCTACTGTCTCAGCTCAGAATATTCAAACATACATCAAACAGGGAAGCTGCTGCTGTGAATGCAAACCGCACCCCATGCTTCTCCTTCCACCTTACCACTGACTAAAACTTCTAGAGACAGGATTACCACTGTTTTGATCTAGAGATTCTTCATGATTCCCTGAGATGCTGCAACCATCACCCAAAGGAACATCAGAAACCCACTATCCAGACAGGCTGTGTAGTACCCCTGCCTCCACTCACCTCAATCAATAAGCAGCCTTGAGACTTCTCTTTGGCCAGATATCCCAGCAAGCTTTGTAGCACAGAAGTCTGCACCAATCACAAGACAATATCAGACATGCTCCAAGATAGTAACAGCAAACAGCCCCTCTAAAAATTTCTTCAACCATCCGCCACCCTTTGAACTTCAATGCCCCTCACGTCTTCAATTTAACCCCACTTTCCTCCACACCCAAATGAAATATGTCACGGTGTGGGTATATAAAGTTTCAATCACTGTTGTCACCAGTTGCCTGATCTCTTACCCCCAAGCCCCCTCCCTCTTATACCTATTATGTTGATCCCCTCCTTTGCTCCCCTGAGTCAGTACACACCTTCAGCTGATACTGCAAGAGTAGGAATTTGTGAGTTAGAACAAAATTGGCCTTCTTGTTCTTCAGCACGATGCTACCTAGCAACCTTGAGAGCACGTTCGGCCTGCCAGAAAAAAGGTAAAAGATTTAAAACAAGTTACAAATGTGTGTCCCCCTTAAGCAGTGAATAGTGACCAATGGTATCGGATCTTGTGTCTCCAACTTAGAAGGAAAATGGAATCTTGGTTCAACACCTTATCCAAAGTTCAGCCCCTTCGACAGTGCGGCACTATCTTTGTACTCCAGTGAGCATTTCAGGCTCAATTGTCTAGAATGTGTCTTGAATACATAATCTCTGAATCAATGACATCAGTGTTTCCACTGAGCCATGGCTGAAAGTTGGCTCTAAGCAAATTGCTTGTAATTGTTGTATTCATGTTGGGAAAGCTAGTCCAGTTGGTCTATTCCCAGATCTCAGACTCCCAATGTCCTTTGAAGTCCACACTTACCCTGCTGATAACCGGACAAAACCAGAAACTACGTTCTCCATCCAACGTTCAGGCACATTCTCGACTAATCGCCAACTGATTCGTTGCCAAAAGCAATCCGATTGGGTAAGAACAGTGAGTCTCGGCACCAACACTTGTAGAACGGCATCTGAAGGAGTCAATCAAAGCAATCAACAATTCAAATACAGACATCACCAAGGATTTGCCTTCACTAAACGATGCTTCAAAAATCAGACCTCCATCACATCGTTAAGGGACAGAGTTCCAGATATCCATTAGTGAAAAAAACTTTGTGATTTCACAGTCCAGCAACTTACTGAACTTTAAGACGACATGTTCCTAATTGTGGGTACCCCTCAGAGGAAACAGTTTCTATCTACTCCTTAGGAATTTTATACAACTCCATCAGATCACCCTCCAAACCTTCTCATGCATCAGGGTTTCTGTGAGATATATTATGGTCTAACTTCTGCCTATGCTCCATTCTTTGGTAATGTATCCACCAGCCTCGGCCTACTCTATCTGTCTAATTCAAACAATTACATGAACTAATCTTAATTCTTTCATAATTTAAAAGACCTCAATCAAACCTTCTCATAGTTGATTCTTTTGGAAAGTCAATGACCCAACTGTCCTCACCCACTGCAAACCCCACTATAACTATAAAGGTGTTACGGACCAGACCAAACCACCTTAAAATATATCAAGGAGATAGTCTAAACCCTAACTTTTTATTTCATTTAAAGGCAAGTATAAGACACTGTGTACATATGATTGGTCCACCTCTAGGCTTTAAGCAAAACACAATTTATTCTTATAACAAGAACTGGTATAATAAAGACTTATAACAAAGACTGCTAAACAGGACAATGATCCAATATTCCTGCCCAATATTCCTTTATCGAGAGTTGAATGAAAGTTCTTACCCAAATCCTGTGCTGAGAACATTGCCAGCTTTTACTAACTCAGTTGCTTTGTATTAATCGCCTGCTATTCTCTTGAAGGCTGTGCCTCTTTCCGAGATACTGTATCAAGGGAATATTTAAACTTTCTGGCCTGTGCCTGTTTTTAAATAGCCTTGGAACACTGTTTGATTGTGAAAGATTTCACAGAAAGGACTGATTCTATCTTTGTCATTTAATCACACACTTTCCACCAAGGGTCACAAGATAGCAACAAAAACAGAAGTTGCTGGAAAAGCTCAGCAGGTCTGGCAGCATCTGTGAAGAAAAAATCAGTTGATGTTTCAGGGCCAGTGACCTTCCTCAGCTCAGCTCCCAAATGAACCTTGACAGATACCAGCCAATACAGAAACTAACCCACGGTTGATGTTCAGACTCACGGTCTAAGGTGTATGTGCTTGTCGAGGAAATACATCAAGACTGGGGGAGTTCCAGGTTTAATTCTTTCTCCTGAATGGTATCTAGCACCTACTCTGGAATTCTGGCTCTAACTGGGCTGCAACAGTAGTAACCACCAGCCAAACAGCTTCTCAAAATTCACAATTTTAACTTAACTCTCCCGCCTTTACAGGAGTCATTAACCAAGATGTTGCTTTCAGTTTAGAGGTCATACTTTGTGAGGTAAAGTTGAGGAGACGAACATCTTCCTTTAAGCAGTGTGACGCTCAGACTTACCAGTGTGTCCTTGCATGCAGACCTTCCCCAGAAGCTGAGACACGAAGAAGAGAGAACTGTCCATCCCACCTATAACATAGTGCAGGATAGTAAGGGTATTGCTTCAGTTATCTATTCCCTTACTACCCAAAATTCAGAGCACACTAAAGCCAGTCTATTTGTGTCTAACTGTTCCCACATGCAACATCCATCAGTATATCCCTGTAACACCACAGCTCTGAAGACTTCTTCGAACCACACGTATGGGGGACAAAATTTGTTGCTGTGAGCTGATTGTAAGTAGTGCATATTAAAACCCTCTGCAGCCCTGATGCATTTGAAGAAGTTCAGTGGGTAACTCTCAGATTGGAGTCAGATGTTTGTGCATTCAACCTCTGAATCACTACATGCCATTAGTCTAACACGTGATGTTAATTGAGAGGGGAGCACTGTCTCATGATAGAGAAAATTCCCACTCTCTTCTTTGAATAGTAACATGGGATCTTCTGTTTTTACATAAGAAGGCAGAAAGAGTCTCCATTTAATGTCTCATCCCAATCTCTGATTGGATACACATCTCTGAAAGTGCCACACTCATGCAGTTCAGTCCTTCATACAATGCAGCACCATGTCAGCATTGTCCCTCCAATGGTTCCTCTGATAGTGACATGCTCTCTCTCTCTCTCGACAATGCAGCACTTCCTCAACAGTTGTCCCCTCCAACAAGGTGGTGCTCTCTCAGCCAACTTCATCCAAAATGAAGTTCCCAGTGCAGTAGCATGGGAGCAGGTGCAGAGACAGCACTGCAGCAGACGGGATGGGTGCTGACGAAGTACTGCACTGTCAGAGGGGACAGGTGCTGAGAGAGCACCACCTTGTTGGAGGGGACAACTGTTGAGGAAGTGCTGCATTGTCGAGAGAGAGAGCGAGCATGTCACTATCAGAGGAACCATTGGAGGGACAATGCTGACATGGTGCTGCATTGTATGAAGGACTGAACTGCATGAATGTGGCACTTTCAGAGATGTGTATCCAATCAGAGATTGGGATGAGACATTAAATGGAGACTCTTTCTGCCTTCTTATGTAAAAACAGAAGATCCCATGTTACTATTCAAAGAAGAGAGTGGGAATTTTCTCTATCATGAGACAGTGCTCCCCTCTCAATTAACGTCATGTGTTAGACTAATAGCATGTAGTGATGCAGAGATTAGAAATGAAGCAATAAAGACTATCAAGTTAGGATGATGCCTAATTTAGAGGGTAACTTGCAGATAGTGATGTTCCAATGTGTTTGGTGTTCTTGTCCCTCAACTTGGCAGAGAATTTGGAAAGTGCTGCTGAAAAAGCTGAGGTGGTTTGCTATAGTGCATTTTGTACATGATCCACATTGTGCATTGGGAGTGAACATTTAAGGAGGCAGATGGCGTTTAAAAAGGCTTCTTTTGGTCGCTAAAGGTTTATTTCCCAAAACATCACACCTTAGTTTTCTTACCTTTCAGTTGCTCATAAATTCTTTCCAATACCAATACCATCTCTTGTCCTAACAGTGGGTAGTAATTCTCGGGGTAGAATATCGCTGTGTTGTCCTTCTCCAATTTGTTTGCCATGTGATCTGGCAAAGCAGAGATTTTATTCAGCAGTGTCTCTTGCAGACTGGACATGTGAGGCGAGGTGTATTCGAGACAAATCTCCCAGATCAGCTGGGTCAACCGATTCTCCTGCAGGAACCGCTCCAGAATTGCCACACATCGCTCCTGTCGTAAGCTTGGTCTGTGACACGAAACCACACCACAGCAGATTCAAAACATATATGTGACCCAGCCCACTCCCGTACCACACAACCAACCCAAAAAAGAGCGGCATGGCACCTGCTCCCACCAAGCAGAATTTTCAAGAGTAAAAGCATATTTGCAGATGGACTCTGGGACTGTGCCCACATTGGCAGCAGGCATCACTATTTACAAGCGTTCCAGGAATGTGTTCATATTTACAGGAAGTCCTTAACAGTATACAGTTTTTAGGAGGAGGTGGTGGCATAGTGTTAATGTCATTGGACTAGTAATCCAGAAAGACACAGACTATGTTGTGGGGATGAGTGTTCGAATCCTGCCCTGGCAGATGATGGTGAAAATGTAAACACTGTCGACTGTCATTAAAAAAAGACCCAAGTGGTTCACCAATGTCCTTCAGGGAAGGGAATCTGCTCTCCTTATCCAGTCTGGCTGACAACTCACAGACTCACAACAAAGTGGGTGACTCTTAACTGCCCTTAGTGCAATTAGGGATGAGCAATAAAATGCTGGCCTAGCCAGTGACAACCACGTTCCATGAACAAGTAAAAAAGTCACTAAAAATGTTGTTCATCTGGGGAGACTGAGCCTTTGTGTGGTGTTGTTTTACAGCAGGATTTCACACAGCCACCACTGCCAGTGAAAATATTGAACACAATGAATCATTCAGTACAAGGTGCCCACCATGATTTGAAATTACCTTGTTGCTGTGATAGTGTCCAGCAGCACCAAGAATGCTTCATGGGGTGGGCCATTCAGAAAGAAGTCATCCAATAATTCTTTTTCCTGGTTAACAGGTAGCAACTGCAGCCAATCAGCACTGAGATTATTAGTCAGGACTTGTAGGAAGTGGGAATAGTGTGTTTTTACAAATTCTTTGCTCTGTGGAGAGGGATTGGCAGTTTCAGGTCCTGTTAGGTACTGCTTCACAGACTGTAAGGTGTGTATGATTTCTGCTCTGGCCCTGGAGGAAGACAGGGTAATGATTGCTTGTTTGATGAGGCAATGTACTTCAAGAATTTCAGGCTCCATGGTTGTGAAGATCCTGAGGAAAATCAGATACAAAGTGAAAATAAGCTGCAAGTTTAGGCAAAACCAACCTCAAACTCCTGGAATATCATCCTAGTTCCCTGAAATCCAGAAATTCCGACTGATAAACAACAACATTTAAAGTTACTGCAAAGAGACAACCCTTGGGTGGGGCTATAGTTATATTACTAGACATAATAACTAAGCTTGGACTAAAGACCACAGCAAGACAGCAGCTAACAAAAATTTAAACTCAATTAACTACATGAATCTGCAAGAAAAAGCTTGTCGCAGTGACTGTGACAAAGAAATACCAGGTTATTGTCAAGACTCATTTCATGCACTAATGTCATTTAGGAATTGAAAGCTTTTTATCTTGACTGCCATGCGTGCAACTCTAAAGTGCCCTCTGAAATGGCCGAGCAAGTCTGAAATATGTTCAAGACAACAGGGACGTAGGAGGTATGGTTAGTAAGTTTGCAGATGACACCAAAATTGGAGGTTGTAGTGGACAATGAAGAAGGTTACCTTCAGATCGGCCAATGGGCTGAGGAGTGGCAGATGGACTTTAATTTAGAAAAATGTGAGGTGCTGCATTTTGGAAAAGCAAATCAGGGCAGGACGTATACCCTTAATGGTAAGAGCCTAGAGAGTGTTGCTGAACAAAGAGACCTCGGAGTGCAAGTTTATAGTTCCTTGAAAGTGGAGTCCCAGGTAGACAGGATAGCGAAGGTGGTATTCGGTATGCTTGCCTTTATTGGTCACTGCATTGAGTATAGGAATTGGGAGGTCATGTTGCGTGTGTACAGGACATTGGTTCGGCCACTATTGGAATACTGCATGCAATTCTGGTCTCCCTGCTAAAGGAAGGATGTTGTGAAACTTGAAAGGGTTCAGAAAAGATTTCCAAGGATGTTGCCAGGGTTGGAGGGTTTGAGCTACAGAGAGAGTGAATAGGCTGGGTCTATTTTCCCTGGAGCATGAGAGGCTGAAGGGTGATCTTATAGAAGTATATAAAATCATAAAGGGCATAGGTAGGGTGAATAGCCAAGGTATTTTCCTTGGGTTGGGGGCAGTCCAAAACTGGAGGGCATAGGTTTAAGGTGAGAGGGGAAGAATTTAAAGGGACAACTTTTTCATGCAGACGGTGGTGCATGTATAGAATGAACTGCCAGAGGACGTGGTGGAGGCTGGTACAACTACAACGTTTAAAAGGCATCTGGATGGGTATATGAATAGGAGGGGTTTAGAGGGATACGGGCTAAATGCTGGCAAATGGGACTAGATTAATTTAGGATATCTGGTCAGTATAGACGAGTTGGACCGAAGGGTCTGTATCTGTGCTGTACAACTCTATGATTCGGGATGGGGAATTTCTGAGATGAATGACACTGCGACCATCAGAACCAGAAAGTCCATGTTAAAAAATAGCTTACTTTAATGCAAGCAAGTTGTTGTCGATGTTCTCTAGCCTGACAAACCCACAGCTCTTACAATAGAAATTGAAGAAAAACTGGCCAGATGTCATGGAGGAACAGAGCAGGCCAGGCAGCATGAAAGGAGCAGGAAAGCTGGTGAAACATCAACTTTCCTGCTCCTCTGATACTGCTTGGCCTGCTGTGTTCCTCCAGCTCCACACTATGTTATCTCTGAATCCAGCATCTTCAGTTCTTGCTATCTCTCACCAGATGTCATGTTTGTTTTTGGCTTCAGGACACGATTTGGTGGTAAAACAACAGGTTTTACCACGGTCTACAATTCCTTAGATTATGCTAAGAAGAATGAACCTAAACATAAATTGGCAAGGCATGGTCAGTTGGAAAGAAGGAAGGATTACATACAGACCTTGATCAGGATCATAGCTAGGTTCCAGGCTGTGACTCTCACCCTCCTGGATCCAGTGAAATATCAGAGGTGAGTCAGCAGTAAAGGCTCGAGAAAACAACCATTTAATTATAACTTCACGCTGTGTAACAACATCAAAATCTCAAATTAGAAATTAACACAAAACCTGTCAACTATCGCCGGCTCATTCATATTTACCTAAAGCCTTCAAAGATTCACCATATTCAATCTCAGCCCATCCGAGCTGTAAATATACAGCCGCCGTTCTGGATCTCACGCCAACGTCCGAACCTAGAATTGAAGACATGAGGTTGTTTATTTCATTTATTTCTGGGGAGAACGTCGAATCTGCTAGCTGGAATCAGACATCTTATTTCACGGTCGGGTAGGTAGCACGTGGGTCTGAAACGCTTTCATTGTGAAGGAAACGGGAAGTACAGGAGAATGGCGCTGTGGCGTCATCTTACTGCGGGAGGATGGGATCGCAGCCAGGCACCATCTTGGTATAGGCAAACTAATTGTAGTACTTTATATGTAACAGAAAAATACAGCGGATGAGAAAATTAAAAAAGGAAATTGCTGAATATATTATGAACATTTGAGAAATCGAGGAGATCACAGAATTGTTACAGCGTAGAAGGAAACAAACCGAAACGTTCAAGAGAATGTCCTGGCCAATGTCTGTTGACAGGTTCGGATAGGACAATGTGAGGAAACTAGCTCAAACTAGGCATACAACACTTAAACAAAATGCAAAAATACCAGTATTGTCAAAGCTTTTTAGCACTTTCTAAAAAAAATTCTGCATGTGTTGTGCAAGTCCCTGGCTAGGCTAATACTTATTGCCCATACCAAACAGCCCGAGGAGTTGGCAGTGAGTTGCCTTCTTGAACCACTGAAACCCTTTGGTGTAAAAACACCTCGTGTGTTATGGATGGATTTCCAGGGTATGACCCAGAGACAATGAAGAAACACTATAATTGTTCTAAATCAGGATGGGTGTGTGGCTGGTTGGGTTGGATGGTAAGGAAAAGAAAGGGACTTGAAGATTTTCAATGAGTCGTTCCTTCTTATGAATGATAATTTTAGGTGAACACAGGTGATAAACATCAGAGGCACTTTTGTTATATTATTTGGTCAATGGCACTGCAGCAGTTCAATATCTTTTCAACAATTTCAAAGTAATCATCAACTGTGCCAGCCCTAAAATCTCTTTTCATATTCCAAGGATACAGATCCTTGGAAAATAGGCAACAGGTTTAGATAGAGGATCTGGATTGGTGCAGGCTTGGAGGGCCGAAGGGCCTGTTCCTGTGCTGTAATTTTCTTTGTTCTTTCTTATTCCAAACTTTTTTGTGCATCCCTTTTCCAATTATTGGTGGCTTTGCAGCCTATAGCCTTTACATTTCTGGAATTCCCTCCTTAAACCTCTCTACATTCCTATCGTTTTTTAAAAGCCACCTCTTTGATCAAGCTCTTGCTCAATTTTAAATCAAATTTGTTTGCACCAGTATCCTTTTGTCCTTATGCTTTTGTGAATACCCAAAGAAATTTTCTATACAGGTGCTATATAAATTCAAGATAGCAAATTTTCAGTCAGGTAACTCTTCCAAATGAGGTGTGACATTGTTTACATTAATTTAATGTACTTACTTCTAATCCTTCACAATTAAGATTTTTAAGCTGAAAAATAGTGGCAGGTTTTTCAACAGTCATCAGATCATAACTGCTCCAAAGGTATCTCAAGTATCTCTGCCTGAGCAACCAACTAAAATGGTATTACCTTCATCCTTAGTACCAACGTCATTTCCAGATTTTTTTTTCTGTCCAAAGAATCTACTACACACCCTATGGACAGTCTTTTTTAACCACCATCAAGTCATCCATGTTACAAATTAAAAGAACAATTTAACAAGTACTACACCAGGAGCAGTGCAACAATAACAAATTGGGGGGAGAAACTAAATTAAATGGAGTTGAAGGAGGAAATAATGCACTCTAACTCCTGCGCTGCTCACCTCACTTTCAGCTACTTAACAATTCTAATCCTCTAAAATCCAATAAGTCTCTCTTTCTATGATCAATATAGATTATAAATAGTTGAAACCCTTACTCTGTTCCTTGTGACATTCCTGTGGTTACAGCTGTTTATTTCTGAGTTTGTTTTCTGTCCATTAACAAATTTTCTATCCATGGTAATATATTCATGCCAACTCCATTAATCCTTAATGTTTAAATTATCATTTGTGATGCACCTTATTGAATACAGTTTGGGAAATCAAAGTATATCAAAGTGCTTTGTTAAGATGTCTTCAATAATAAATTCTACCATATTCATGACAATTTATGTTGGGCTTGTAATTCTTATTTTCTCTCTCCTTCCTTTCTTGAATAGCAGTGTTACATTTACTAATTTGTTAACTCAAACTACTGAGACCTTGTGGAATCTACAGGACTTTTAAAATCAAAACTAGGGTATCCGCTATCTCTGCAGCTACCTTAGCCCCCCCACAAATGTAGGCCATCAGGTTCTGGAGATTTGTCAAGTTTTAATTCCTCAAATTTCTTTAATAATTTCTGCTGCAAACATGAATTATTCAAAATATCTGATTCTTATTAGCTCCTTGGTTAATCTCTAGCTTTGAGGTATAATTTGAGTGTTCTGAAAGAAAGTCAGACAAAATATTTATTCAATCCGTCATTCCTCATGAGAATGAATCTGCTTCCTTGAGACTTTTACAAACCATATATTTTCTCATTGCTTTTTGATCATCATTTGATGGTTTCCAAAACTCCTCCAATTCAAAGGCTTACTTGTATTTTTCACAACAAATATGCCATTTCTTTAATACCATAAGGGTTCAAGCCCAACGTCTCAAGCACATAATTTAGACTGACACTCTGTGCAGTCCTGAAGGTGGTGCTGTACTGTTGGAAGCGATATTTTCAGATGAAACTTTAAATTGAGACCCAAAAACAAAAACAGAAATTGCTGGAAAAGCTCTGGAGGTCTGGCAGCATCTGTGGAGAGAAATCACAATTAATGTTTCGGGTCAAGTGACCCTTCCTAAGAACTCTGATTTCTCTTCAACAGCTGCTGCCAGACCTGCTGAGCTTTTCTAGCAATTTTTGTTTTTGAGGTTGGTGACTTGCTCGCCGAGCTGGTTGGCTATTGTACAGACATTTCGTGACCATGCTAGGTAACATCATCAGTGTGGCCTCCGATGAAGCGATGTTGTTCTACTCCGCTTGGCATTTATATAATCTGGTCTGTTAAATTGGGTTGTGTCATTTCCGGTTCTGTTCTGCATGGGCTTGTATATGCAGTCTAGTTCCACATGTTTGTTAATTGCATTACAGGTTGAAAACCAGGCCTCTGGGAATTCGTATGCATGTCTGCGGTTGGCTTGAGCTAGGATGGCCACGTTGTCTGTTAAATTGATGGCCTTCGTTGTCCGAGTGCACTGAGATGAGGGAAAGTTCGTCGTGTCATTTTGCTGCTAGCTGGTGTTTGTGCATCCTGATGGCTAGTTTCCTTCTGGTCTGGCCAACATAATGTTTGGCGCAGTCATTGCAAGGTATTTTGTAAACAATGTTGGTCCTGCATGTCATGGGTATGTGGTCTTTGGTCCTTGTGAGTGTTTGTCATAATGTGGCTGTGGGTTTGTGTGCTACCATGATTCCTAGTGGTCATAGGAGTCTCATCAGTTCTTATATCTTCTTGATATAGAGTAGTGTGGCCAGTGTATTGGGGTGTACTGTGTCCTCTTGACATTGCCTATCTAGTAGGCACCTGTGGATGAAGTTGTTGGAATATCTGTGTTAGCAAAGACCTTGTATAGGCGCTGTTCCTACTTCCTGCGTAGTTCTGGCATGTTGCATTGGTTTGCGGCCCGTTTGAATAGTGTCCTAGCTTTGTTTGTGGACGTTGGCGTGATTGCTGTGGAAATTGAGGATTTGGTCAGTGTGGGTTGCCTTCCTGTATACTGTGGTTTGGAACTCCCCATTGGTCATTCATTCTACCCTCATGTCTAGAAATGGAAGTTGATTGTTGTCTTCCTCTTCTCTTGTAAATTTGATCCCGGTGAAAATGTTGTTGATGAGATGGTGTGTCTCTTTTAACTTGGTGCGTTTAATGATGACAAACGTGTCGTCCACGTATCGGATCCACAGTTTTGACTGTATGGTGGCGGGGGTGGGGGGTTAGTGTGTTCCAGACCTTGCATTGACTGCCTCTCAATAAGTCCTGAGATGGGCAACCCCACAGGTTTACCATTGATTTGTTTGTATATTTGGCCGTTAAAGATGTAGTGTGGTGAGGCATAGGTCCAGTAGTCTGAGTATGTTGTCCTTGCTGAAGGAGCTGTTTGGAGTTTGGCGTTCCTGCTGTATCCAGTAACGTGGCAAGTGTTTCTTTTGCTAGTGGTATGTCAATGGACGTGAATACTGCTGTGACATCAAAGGATACCATAATCCCGTCGTCATTGATTTTAATGTTCTTGAGGTTGTTAAGGGTTGAATAGATGGAGTGAGGTGACCATCCTGGCTCAAGCCAACCACAGACACGCATGGGTATTCCTAGAGACCTGGTATTTTACCCTTAATGCAATTAACAAACATGTAGAATTAGACACCATATACAAACCCATGCAGAACAGAACCAGAAATAACACAACCCAACTTAATAGACTGGATTGTACGGTGGCTCAGTGGTTAGCACTGCTGCCTCAGGGACCTGGGTTCAATTCCAGCCATGGGTGACTGTGTGGAGTTTGCACATTCTCCCTGTGTCTGCATGGGTTTCCACTGGGTGCTCTGGTTTCCTCCCACTGTCCAAAGATGTGCAGAGGAGGTGGATTGGCCATGTTAAATTGTCTATAGTGCCCAGGGATGTTTAGGTGAGGTGGGTTAGACATGGCAAGTGCAGAGATAGGGGAATGGGTCTGGATGGGATGCTCTTTGGAGGGGTGGTGTGGACTTGTTGGGCTGAATGGCCTGTTTCCACACTGTAGGGATTCAATGATGATCTTCTATGAAATACCAAGTGGAGTAGAACAACACCGCATGATTGAAGGAACTGATTATGTTACCTAGCACGGTGACAAAACGTATGTACAATAACCAGGCAGCTCGGCTAGCAAGCCGTTTTTTAAATTTAAATTGAGACCCTCGTTTTCCCTCTTGGGTGGATTTCATAACATTTTTGGAAGACAATCAGGAGATTACCCTCCTACGCCCAAGACGCCCGGGTTCAGTGCGTATCCAGACCCATCTACAGTGCAGGGCTGGATGAACACAGCAGGCCAAGCAGCATCATAGGAGCAGAGAGGCTGACCATCTACAGTGCAACGAGTTCTCTCACCTCCCCCGGCGGTGCTCACCAGTATAGCAGATGTTTGCGTCATGACGCAGCGTGCGACGGGTGACGCGGGTTGAGCG